CAGAGAACTCTGTTAGTGTAATTAGTGCTGCATACACGATGAGTTTAATATTTGCGTTCAGATGCTTGTTTTTGAGTGTTGTGTCATGTATATACCCCAAGGCCTTGGCTACGGTCATTTTGATGCGTAGTCTACATCATTTTATCGAAGATGACACCAAGACGTTTTTCATTATTTACAGATGGATTGTTCTTTCCATTTAGTTTGAGTTTATCATGAATTCTACATCTTCTGGAGAAATAGATTGCCTGAGTCTCACCTTCCTTGATCTTCACATTCCAATGCTCACACCACAACCTCACAGCAGTGACACTGTATTGTAATTTGCTATGAGTGTTTATTGAGTTGGCTCTTTTTTATGTGAGGTAGATGGGGTATGCATGCTGCTTATCTAGTATTTAATTCTTATAGTGGTTCAAATATCATCTATGTATCAATTACTTTCAGTTTGACAAAAATATTGCAAGCAAGCCAAAGAATTAGCCATGGGTGCCCCAATGTCAGTATTAGCATAAATATACAAGTATTTCAATATGTGAAACTGAAAAACTGTAACAGCTGTCTAGTGGAGGTTTTCATGGCACTTTAAACTTATGATTATAGTCTTCTGGATTAAAACACTGTGTAGTCTTATAGAAGTGGCATGCAGTAGCATAGTTAGTTGAGGCACTATGCTACAAGCCGATGAGGTCACTGGATTTTCTCAATTTACCTAATCCTTCCAACCACACTATGGCCCTGGGGTCAATTCAGCCTCTAACAGAAATGAGTACAAGGAATATTCTTGGGGGTAAAGGACAGCCAGTGCATAAGGCTGACAACCTTACCGCCATCTATGAGCCAATTGTCCAGAAAGGTGTGAAGATGACCACTCCATCTAGTCCCAAGGTTAAGAATGGTGGAGCTATTCCTCTGTTCCCCCATAGGTTTTCCTGGTATGGTGCTTAATTAAGCCCAGAACAGCTTTACCTTCACTGTTCTTTGAAGATGTCTGTTGAAGTAAGTTAATACTCGTATATTACATAGTAATTTAATGTTCAGCAACAGGTTTCTAACAATACAGATAAAACTATTGACAGATAAGATGTTGTGCAAATATTGAAAATATGTCCCTATAATAGTAGCGATTTACTGTTACAGGGCTCCTTTTATCACAGATTTTCAGGTTTTCACAGCAGTGAACTTTTCAGATTGTGTTCTTCTGAGTTCTATTATCATGTAGTCAAATATAGGTGGATACCATTGTTTCAGAGGCCAATGTAAAGATGGAGGCAGCATGTTCTCTGAATATTGGTAACCACCTACACTAGTCTACAAAAGTGACAGCCCAGAAAGCCATGATCTGAATGCCTTCTAAGACTTGACATAATAACCAAATGCATGTATATAAAAGGGTAACCATCTGTCTGACTGAAAGTTCCTCACAAATAATTGTAAAGTAGAATGCCAGGTTCTTAGTCATTATAATAGCCCATAACATTATCTTGTCATGCTTTTATGACTGTGTACATTTTCATATTCTTTATTATGTATGTAATATATTTTAGAGATTCTTAGACACACAGTGTCATGAAACTAACATAAGGTATGTATGCCCACAAAATTACTGTACACAACCTACTGCCAGAAAATAAATTGTTGTTATTTGCAAAAGAAATTTATATGCACAATGCAGTATTGTTGTATAAGTGATACCAGTAAGAGTACAAAACGTATGTGTTACGTTTGTTTTCATAGCAGTGAATGTAAAGATTACAGGCTTCTAGGATGTGATGCAATGCAGTTTGGCAGATCAGTACCAGTATTTGGGAGGAACATAACCTTTATAGAGGTATGTATCTACCAAACTACATAGTATCACATCCCAGAAGACTGTAATGTAAAATGTGTGGTTAGACACTGGTTGATTTACCCGTGTGTCTGGTTTCACTTGATGTTAACTGTTAAGTGTGAATGTAACATCTCATGTATACAGGGGTGGCTGTTTTGCTTGATTAGCAAGCATTTGGTCTGTTAACTTGTACGACAATTAGAATATTGTTGTGTGTATGTGTGACTATTGACAGGGGTTTTAGATTGGATTTATTGACCACTTTAACACACAACTCGTAATTATACTTAATTATAGCACAATCACTGATAGCCATACTTTACAAATCACGCTCTCTCTCTCTCTCTCTTACACACACACACACACTAGTGCTCTAAGTGTATTACTAGACGTTTCCTGGTAATGGCTTCTGACAATGGCTATTCCTCTGCTTCCATGCTCAAGTTCTCCCAGAATGACAGCTCCCTTCCAGCTGCATCTTCTTACTTCAGTTGTCCTCCTCATAACCCCTTTGCATGGACTAGTAGGAAACACTGTTTCCAACAGTACCTCTATTATGGCATGTGTTTACCAAGCTGATGCCTGCAATATGTATGTGTAAAAAATACTGATATAAAGATAACAACATTGTCCGACTCCACTATCAAGGCAGAGTTGTTGCTGTACTTAATTAAGCACTACTCCATGCAGGCATATGGGGGGTGGATTTATAGACAGATATTTTCTTGACCTCAGCACTAGTTGGAGATGAGTGGTCAGCCTCATGCCCTTACCTGGGGAAAGTGCCCCCAACCCTACCCATTGGATAGGAAGCTGGCTGGGCCTCAAAGCCAGTCTGGATGACATGTAGGAGAGAAAATTCTTGACTCTACTGCATCTTCCAACCCCTCGGTCATCCAGCCCATAGCCAGTCCCTATACCAACTATGCAATCCCAGCTCCCAACTCCACTATCAATTTGGATATTTATGGGGATGAATGAAAATTTCATTCCAAAAGTGTATACATACATAACTCTTTTTAACCTGTGTAGTTGAAAAAGTATAAAAAATATACAGTAGACTAATCCTGTCATGCTTAATTGTAGTGCCATTGCTGTAGGATACAGCAGCAGTAATCAGCAAGGATGACAGTGATATTTATGTCTTAACACGAAGGAGAAGAATGATTATGGCAAATGGGAGATATGAGAAAGGAACATGGGATGATGGAATATGCTAAAGGTATGGAAGGATAATGGCAGAAACGTGGTGAACAATGAATATACAAAAACAATCTTGAAGAAGTAGGACAAGCTCCAATTTGTACTTGCTATTATACCCTATATATGAACAGTTTATTCCACAGAAGACTTCTGGGTAAATGTTAATTTTAGGAGTATATAATGTGAAAATTGTAACATTTACATTTTACCTATAAAACCTAAGGAATTGTAAAATGCATCATGCACACAGTGAGCACATTTAATAATTTTCCCATTATATGCCTGGCTGTCTTCCAATCCATCACTTTCTCATGTGAAATATGTTGGAAATCCATAAAAAGCTTTTATCCATATTTTTATGTCTGTAATTTCTCCCCTTCATGTAACAGCTACTGAACAGTGTCTAGAGAGAGCTTGGGGAAAAGATGTAGAGCAGGCACCTCATCAGAATTAGGATGAAAACCTAGTATGTCTTACTAAGCAAACATAAGGGTGTCTTAGATTAAATTAAAATACAAGATAGCAGATAGCAATAATAAAATTTATTAAAAATAATATATAAAAATATAAACACTCAAATTTAGAGATTACATATTACAGTGTTAGAAATATAATATTTGTTAACAAAATACACAGACTGCTATTGCAATGCATGATACAGTTAGACTGATTAGTGTAACAGTCTCATGTAGTATCCAGCTTCTTTCTTGGAATGTCTCAGTACAAGTTCATCCTTCACATTTAACTCTGCAATATAGTAATAATTTTGAACCAAACTATGCTCAAATATCTAACCGAGTTACTATGCAGACTGTTACTAGTAAGTGTAAGAAAAATGTAGTACTTAATATGTCACCAAAGGGCTATAAACTCACAACTCTTTACTTCAACTTAAGTAGATATAAAAATATATTTATATATCAGGAATTCAACATAGCTCACTATTCTCTGTTGTCTGTTCACTCTACTACAATGTATCAAAGATGTCATGTATAGCACCTGTCATAGGGACCTGCCCCTGGAAGAGACTATTCATTTCAATGTACAAATTAAATAATCATGAATTTCTGGTCAGTCAGTAGTGGTGGATTTATAAAACAAGAGAAAAAGTATGAATTGGAAGTGTCAGAAAAATGTTCAAAATAAAGGTTTTAAAGCAGTTTAGCTGGCTTTGGGTTGATAATATGACTTATGCTTATAATGGAAATAAAAATGTGAACATAAATGTTCAAAGTACTGTTGCTGTAAAAAAAATCTGCAATTTTTATAAAATTGGGCTGTGGGGGAGGCCTATATTAAATTGTCAGCATTCACTCACAATTGTAAACTTTCATTACAACTAGACAGTTAATGAGAGGTTTAATTCACAAATGTGAATGTTGTCTGGCGTGCGGGACCATATTTACAATGTTGGGGGTGCCAGGGCACTCAAATTATGGGAGGCCCTTATCAGTAACAAATTTAGGTTATAACAGCTCTCTTTTCTTTCATCTTATTTCTTACAATAACTAAAAATACTAACTAAATATGTCACACATTTCCAAGTGAGATGTGTAAAGTATTATTTATTATTATTGGAGAGGGTAGGTTTCCCCATGCGCCGCGACTAATAGTCTATTGTACGTTCTTTCATATTCTACCAGTTGCCATACCCTACCGGTACTGGTGCGTGCTATCAGCCCAGTTCAGCCAACGAGGTCGGCCCTCACTACCTGATACATCTACCAGAGGCATTGGAAACTACTTGGGCAGGAAATTTTGCCTAATTTTGCTCAGAGGTCTCCTAGAGACATGAGGATCTTTTACGTGCCATAAATCTATGACACGGGACCCACAGCTTAAAGTCCCTCCCGGAGGACTTGTTCCCTGAATTTTTCTGCCCTTAAAAATTCTATGACCTCTGCTGGGTTTGAACCTGCATACCTTGAGTTATGAGGTGGGAACGTTACCCCTAGACTACGGAGGCCGCTTATGTGTAAAGTAAGTTTTACAGTATATTAAGTGTTGAATCAGTAGTGAGTACGTTCTGTAATGAGATAAATCATGGTAATAATATATGTATAGAATGAAAAGTATTTAGAAAAAATGGATGGAATGTACAAGGGAGAGAAGTTCCTTTGCACATCCCACTTGGGAAGGTCTGATGATGGTACATAATCAGTACCATAATATGGAACCCTGTTAACCATTTCAATAAGGAAGTTGACTGACAAAAAAAAAACTAGTGACAATGAAGTCACTCACTGTGCTCTTTGTGGTGCTGATTCAAATAATGACAAGTGAATCCCACATTTAAGGTTTCTTTAGGAAGCAGTGAATTTTAACACCAAACTGAGGAAAATCTTTAGTGTAAGTAATTTAACTCAGACTACTTACATAATAATTGACATTGAAGATTAATGAGGAAAAATCTTACATATAGAAGCATAAAATAAGGGTTATTAAGGGTTCCACTCTCTTAGGACTTCATTTAGGGAGACATGCAGAATTACAGATGTTGAACAGAAAATTCTATCGGTAGTTGTGCCCAAAATGAAATGCATTAAACTGTTGACACTTAAAAAAAGTTCTTAAATAAATAACTTCTTCAAATAATTCTTCAGGAGCCAGGGCAGTTCAAGAAACATTTTTCATCAAGACCCAAGAAGCAAAGAAGACCACAGAGACAATGTGGTGTCCTAATCATGGCAAGAGGAACGACACTTTACAGGTGTGAAAAATGGGGTGCCAGTCTCTGTATTCAATGCTTCAACCTTAATGACTAAGGTAATGTCACATTCTTCTTGAGATGTAACAAAGTTTAATTTACCAAATTTCATTTGTAGAAGTGTGTAGCATTATTAATGACTTTGTATAGTATTCTGTATGTAATGTGAACATTTAAAAAAAAAGTTTCTAACAATTATGGTGCTTTGTATTAACTGTTTCGCTGTTTTGGTTTAAAACAAATGTTCAGTGTAGCACTGAAGGGTTAACACATTGCAAACTAGTCACAGTAATTCTCATGATTCACATGCCATTTGTCATGTACAGATACAAGAATTATTCTGCTTCATGTAGAGTTATTTTCTGTAAGATCTACCATTTCATACATACTGTTTGAATGGACAGTTTAACCAGGGGTCAGCAACATTTTTCTATGAAGGATGCATTTAATTAAATTTTATAACTTAACTAATTTAACACTCAATGCATGCCACCATTGTTCTGTTACACGTAGTATGTATGCTGATGTGTGTCTTAACACGTTTATTTGCTTTTCCAAATGATACTAAAAATGCAGAGGTTACATGTAATCTTTGGAAATTAACTGTTTGAATTAAGATTATGACCTTCTGTAAATTAAAAGCATATAGTTCAGCAGATATGTACTAGTGTTCCAGAAGAACCTGCTGCTTACATCTTCATAACTGAATATAGAACCCTGGAGACAGAAAAATGTTAGTATCTATGTAGCAGACTATGTGGTGTCACATATCAGAAAACCATAATCTTGTGTTCAGTTTTGTTAAATTCTGGTAGTTGCTGGTGTACCTAAGTAAAAAGTCGAGAATGCACAGGGAAACTAGAAGTAAAGCTCCACATTCCGGCCACATTACTCCCAGAGCCAAGTGAACAGAAGGAAGGCATGCCCCACAGATGGTCTGAATGTGCTGGTGAAGGGAAAAATTTCTGCTTCTGCCAGGAACTGAACACCAGCCATGCAGCACATAATCATTTATGTTATTGACTGAGCTATCCCTGCTCACTTTGATCAACAGAGTGAACGAAAAACTCTCAGTGTGGATTTACCTTTATGTGAAAGATCTCCATCTTACAGAATGTCCCAGTTCTTTCAGGAAAGAACAAAGTATGTGACACACAAATCACATACTGACTACATTATAACTTCACAGTGCTGCATTATGTTACACAATTTAATGAAACAGCTTCAGATGGAGACCACCAGTACCAATTATCTCAGTCGCCATCTGTGAATCGCTTTGATACGTCACTGTCATCTGTCATCTGGCCATTGCTTTGTATTGGTCGACGCAAACTGTGGGTTCGAATGGTAACCACACTTGGCCGTTCTTTTGTAGATGGCATGAAGCTCAAAGCACGTCTCACGCGATCTGACTCACGTACCTGAGGTGCAATTACCTGTAACCCACCATTATAAACTTCACTGTCTTCAGACACAAATAAAACAACTTTGTTGAAACAGGATAAGAAAAGTTAAGGACAGGAAACCTGAAACTGACCTTAACTTTATGGCACTACATACATGTTCTATTATCTTGTGTATACTGTGCAATTTCTGCATGTGAAAACTTGAGACTGAAGATCGACAAAAGTTCTGCAAATTCCTAAGCATATTGTGAAAATATCACATGAAAAACATCAAAAGCGGTTATTATGCATGCTTCCAAAAATGTGAGGCCTATGTACAGATTTATTTGATTTTATGATTTATTTAACAACACTGACAAGAGCTCAGATTATACAGCATGAAAGGGAAAGGATGTGCAAGGAATTGGCCATAGCCTAGTTTAAGGTAATGTCCTGCTATGTGCAGGACCTGACAGGATATCCAGCCTCTGACTAAGGCAATGCTGTTGCTTATGTTGCATATAACATCCTCAGATCAAAACTGAACATACTGCATTTCATAGTAGAATATGTATGGCTGAGTATAATGACAGATATGCCGAAGGGAAAGAAAGAGACCACAGAAAGCAAGAACAAGACACAAATTATCTTATCTGTACGATATCTGGTGTGCCGGAAATATGCAATAAAGAATGATAGTACAGTTATCCAAGATGGGGTGGTCTCCAGTGTTACCTGCATACAGTGTTTCACCAAAATCAATACATTATCATCTAAAATATCTGTAACTGTACTGGTATGGACAGATGAATGAACATGTGAACCTCACTGAAGAATTCCAAACAAAATCTGCATCTCTGGAACAAAATTCCTATTTGAACTTCTGATTAGGAATGTGTGAGAACGGTTTTTCAGTTTGAGACAAGATTTTGGAAAAAAATTTGTAAATGAACATATAAACAAGAATTTTTCTTGTAGATTAAATTTTTAATTGTAATAATTTATAACACTAGCTACCTCTTCACCGCCATCTTTGAGCCAATTGTCTAGATAATGTGGGACCCTCAACATCTCACAACCCTATGGGCCTTCACGGCCTGTTACAGGGATAGCTTCACTTCTTTTACTAGCTGCCTCTTCACAGTGCACTGAAGTGTGCTACCATATCAACCTTAATGCAAGATGACCCTGTACTAGGAAACATGTCTGCTTAGAAATTTAAATGTTATGAATTAATTTCATAATCTTAACAAAACACATGAAAGAAAATAAGTATTAAAAACACATTATACGTGAACTTTATTGAGTCACTTTCCCTCTTGAAGTCACTAGCCTTTATTCAGCTTCACCAGTCTTGTGTTCATCCTTATCACCTGTCCTAGCTTCAATGTCTTCACAATTCCCATCTTGTCCCATATTCTCTCTTCACACATGTTCACTGCCAACATTCCCAACTTCTTCCTCATCCTTCCCTTCCACCCAGTTCATCAGATACACATTTTTAAAATTCTATGACCATCGCACCTAGAAAGAGTTGTTGCCATGGACTTGATCTGATGGCACAGTGGTTTTTTTTTTCGCTTGTCCTCATGTCAGAATGTAGTCCCCTACCATGAGCATTTTGGAATGCATATGTTTCAAATGGTCATTATAAGGCTTATGCACTGGAGCGTAGCTATGAAGTCATATTTCCAGGTATCACCACAAGGTCAGTATTCATTGCATGAATCACAGATCTGGCATCCAGTGTTAAATGACCTTCAAATGTATCCAAACTAAACATTCTTTGTTTCCTCAACAATATTCTTGGTCTCCTGTTACAGACAAATTGTAACCAGTTCCCCCATCAGTTAATTAAGTTATCCATTCCTCGATTAGATGCATGACTGTTAGCCACAGCTGTGCCTTAGACTCAGATCTTTTGATTCAAAACTACACATAGTGGCAGTCTTGTCCTGTCTGCCAACTCAGTCAACATTCGTCACTCGCACATATATTTTTTTTAATTTGCTTAGTGGGGGGTGGAGTCCAGTTGGGTCCACTTGACACAGCGGCCACTGACTGGCCTACTGTACCTGCCCTGGGTGATTATGATGATGGAGAATTTGGTGGAATGAAGATTGGCAGGGGAAACCGAAGTACTCGGAGAAAACCTACCCCAGCGCCACTTTGTCCACCACAAATCCCACTTGACCAGACCCGGGTTTGAACCCCAGTGGCCGCAGTGGGAAGCCAGCTACTAACTACTTGAGCTATGGTGTGGCCTATACTCGCATATCTTCACTGCCTCCTGCTTTCATTGACAACAGATTTTGCGCTTGCATCATAAGTGGCATAAATGGATGGGATATCAAAAGATACTGGCATTTCATCACCAATGGCACAAAGTTTGATTTGTAACTTCTTGCAAAGTGAAGTCTTTCACTACAAGGAAACCCTGTTCCTCCACATCAGCCGTACACATCACCCTGAGCTGAACTTCAAATTTCAGCCTCTTACTGCATAACAATGTTGCACAAGACTGACATTCCATTAGGACTTTGAACCCATATAAATGACAATTTTCATGCAGAATTGGCAAGTTGCAGTGTTTGTTGTTACTGCCTTTGGATATCTGCCTCAGGAAGCAATGTATTTTCATGCCAAATTCACAGCTGTTAGTTTGTCCTCAATGTTTAATCATTTATAATCATTTTTAATCATTTATACGAACCATAACTGAAGCACTCGATTCTTTCTGACACGTTATTCCCTTTCACACTCATACTCTTCTTGACATGATCTACCATTTTTATATCGAGGAACATTTGTGTTAGCACAGAATCTCATGATATCATAAATTGGTGAATTGCTGCTTTTTTTTCTTCCTTAACTTTGATGGTACTTTAAGCAGGCTTCTAACCCTGAAACATATTTCTCTCTCACACTTGCTACTTTGCTATTTTCACAAGTATTGTAGTGCAAATTAGTGATCATGGTGCGACTTATGCTATAAACATGCTGAAAGCTTGAAACATATTGAAAGCATATTATACGAAGGCTATTTAGAAAGTAATCTCTGGTGAGCTGTTAACAAACAAGCAATGAGTAAATAATTATTATATACAAAAAGAAAATATATGTACATACTTAAGCTACTTCTCAACACAGTCACTGCCAGAACTGAGCCACTCTCTGTTTTGTGCACACCTGTGATCACTTCAGAACCCATCTCACACAAAACTTGTGATAGCCTAGCCTAACTGTGATGATTTCATAGAGAAGAGTGCATGAAGTTTGTGAAAATTCACATGAAAGTTCTGAAATTGTGAAATGCCATCTTTCACAACTCTTTTTGTCAACAATTTGAACAAAACCATCACCCATTATAGATGGCTGACCACTTCGCTTTTCATCATGAACATTTGTTCACCCATCTGAATATTCTACTCCATTATCTTACAGTTCCTTCACTCATTACATTTTGGCCATAAACTGCCACACATAATTCACAACAGATTTCCATATCACTCATGTTTTTAGCATGAAGAAACCAGTTACCAGTGCAAATTTCACAGCTGGCAGGATTATCAATCATAGGACACATCATAACTCGCTCTGTAGAGATAAGAGCAAACACCATGTGGCCAGTTATGTTATGCTCCCTCACTTACGCAAGCGTTCTCCTGCTTCTACATTAGTTGCCTCAAATAAACAGAGGTTATTTTCCAAATAGCCTTCCCATCTTCCTAGGGGTAAAGGGCAGCCGATGTGTAAGGCTGACAACCTCACTGCCATCTGCAAGGTGAATGTCTAGAAAATGTGGGAGCCTCGACATCTCACAACCCTATGGGCGTCCACAGCCTGTTACAGGGTTCACTCTACCTTTTATATATTCATTAAAATTCATGACAACCCACAGATCTGTACCATTTAAAAGGAAAAGAAACTTGTCTTAAATTGAGGAAAATAAAACATTATTCTCTTCTGGTATGATTCCAACACACAATGCAAGAGCAGCTATCACAAAAATCACAAAGTTCAAATTCAGATCAAGAATCCTTTTCCAATTTGATCTTGAAAATTCAAGTCTCAGGCATGCCTAACCCTGATTTAAAAATGGCCGTTAATTTATAGGAATATGCCTTAATATTAATCATAAACCAAAAACTTCAGTGACTTTATCTATACTGACAAATGGTGTTATAATACAGTCTGAATGCGGATCTAATTCAAGTGCAAGAAAACAGTTCTTAGAAATTTTATGAACTATGAAAATTTCAACAAGAGATTAAACTAAAGAGAAGTATTATAAATCAAGTTCTGATTATTATACTAACCCTGAGCTGTGCTTCTAGCAACTCTTTTGACTTCTCAGACATCAAGATCTTATCTCTTGCAGAATTAAGCTCTCTATCCAGCTGCAACCGTTCTTCTTCAAGCTGCCTCAATCGCTCTTCTGCCTCTAAATACCAAAGTAAAACTGCTTCAGGACATATCAAACACCTTGAAACTGAAGATTTCTGAGTTACTGAATCAAAGAAAGGGCTATGCACCACAAGTTCATACCATTGGATATCACAAACTGAACACAGGACACATGACAGAAACCCAAATCCAACACATTAATGCATCAAGCAAGTAATAACCCATAATCACATACATGATACCTTCAAAAACTTCTGGGACAAATGAATTCAGCAACCCTGAAACAAATTGGAAGACTGCATCTGTGCATTTCTCAACCTGCATGCCTGTTAGAGCAGAACTGTTCTGGTGGGTATCACAGGCTTTGAACTATGAGTGCAGTGTGTATATGAGGGTTTTCAACTGGGAGAATGAATCATCTTGAATAATGGACCAACATCAAATTTTGTCTGCACTTGGGAAAATCAGTGATGGAAGCTCTGCAAGTACAATGAACAGAGTATGGTGTCCCACTCCATGGTGCTTGACTGTCATCACAAGTTATAGGATGGCTGTGAGTCACTGGAAGACAAAGGTAAAGCAGATGACCCGCAATATCATAGAATGAGGATAATGTATGATGTGTAGCTGGTTACGAGCTCACGCTGTTGTAACACAACACAGACGACCACAGAAAAACTTGGAAATTCAGTTAACAGTTACCACATCATCCTCAGTTAGAATCTGCATCTGTCTACACATTATACCACGAGCACTGTGGTAATGCAACAATGGTGGAAGGCTGAAAATAGACTTAAAGCAACATTGGTTGCAAACATAATAAAGAACTCCACCAAAGTTAATAAAAGCATGCATAGAGGAAGAGATCTGGAAGAACATCCACACTGCACTCTTCAGAATAATGGAACAGTTCTCAAGAAGTCCCACAATATCAGTTGGAGCAGATGCTTGTACTCATAAAAGTGAGTTAACACACATTCCACAGTGCAGACAATTCTGGGGAGGGGGGAATGTGTCTTTCAAACTACGAAAAAACAGAGTTTTCAGTATTTTCTGGGGCATTGGTATGATGAATAGCCAAAGTTACTGGAAAATATTCTGTGAAGACTTCCAACCATTTTCAGATATGGTGAACCGTAAAAAATTTCATTGTATCAAGGTTACATTAAGTCTTCTTCTATGTGGAATAAAAACACCCTGCAATCTATTCCAGAACCTTCTCCTTACTTTCTCATGTCATCTTCGTAAACACAGACTCACCGTTCCAAGGGGTATCTCACACGTGGCATTCTGACACAAGAAATAACATGACTGAGTGAGTGACTGCTTACTGAACAAGTACAGAAAAACAGAAGTTGAAGCAACACTGAGGCTTGCAAGGTATGAATGTGCCAGCATATAATGTATAAGCTCACTTGCTTGTAGCTGTTTAGTATTTTGCTGAGCTCTCAATACTTAAAATAGGTCATGACTGACCACTTCTTCCAAATCCTTTCCAGTACATCATTCTAACATATGATATTACACAACCTATGCAGCTGAAATGTATTTCTGAATAACACTTTCTTTGGCCATGTTCATAATTCTGCCCAATATGTTAAAACATAACTTTATTCTTTCCTCTCATTTCTCAAATCTAAACAGACTCCCTAACAGGCCTGTAACACAGTGCAACCTTGATGTAATGAGGATTTATAAAATTTGTAAAAATGCTCATTACACTGAGTACTCATAATATCTGAAAATGGTTGAATAACTATGTATGGTGCTATATGGCACTATGATTTAAACTAATAATGCAAGCACCAAAGTAATTACTCTTTTTGGTGCATGTGCAGTGAAGACTTTTGAAAGTGCCTGTACTAGCTTTGCCATGTTTGTCTATCAATCTGTCTGTCTGCATGTAACAAATCTAGAATCATAAAACATATTTTCATAAAATTTAATATCAGGGAGTTTTACTAATATGTGTCAACATATTCCAGTCTCAGTTAAATTCTGGCAATGATGAAGAAAACTACCAAAATGTGTTTCTGCAACAATCATGTACGAGGGGGGACCCAAAAATAACCGGAAACGACCTGTTGCGCCTGCATGCTTTGTAGTTACGAGTTGTGCTGCTAGGTGGTGTTAGCTGGGGGTCTCCTGCGACTGTTAGTGAGCTGGCGTCAGTCTGAGTTAAGTGGTTTGTCTGTGGTGCTCTGTTGTGTGCGTTCCTGTTTCAACCCTTTGGCAATTAGTGAGATGGCTGACCAGAAGGAACAAAGAGTGTGCGTGAAATTGATGAAGATCATCGAAAGACCATTGACCAACTTTATGAGGAAACAAACATCTCATGCAGCACGGTCCAGCGAATTTTAACCGAAGGTTTGCACATGAGACAGGTGTCTGCAAAATTTGTTCCTCACTTGCTTGGAGATGACCAAAGAGAAAACCGTGTGAATGTTTGCTGCGACTTGAAGAGTGAAGTGCAGTTTTCCCTAACAGAAAGCAAAATTTCACGCACACTCTTTGTTCCTTCTGGTCGGCCATCTCACTAATCGCCAAAGGGTTGAAACAGGAACGCACACAACAGAGCACCACAGACAAACCACTTAACTCAGACTGACGCCAGCTCACTAACAGTCGCGGGAGACCCCCAGCTAACACCACCTAGCAGCACAACTCGTAACTACAAAGCATGCGCATGCAACAGGTCGTTTACGGTTATTTTTGGGTCCCCCTTCGTATACTTGCTGTGTATTTATCAGGGAAAAAGTTGTTTTGAGCAGAAGTTGTGGATTAAAACAAAACTCACATTTTCTGTCCAATATACTTTTCCCATAAGTTGTACAATTCTCAGGATAAGAAACAAAATTAATTGTATACTGTCTACAGATACTAACAGAGTGTTACATTATCTGAACATTTCCTAAGATGAAGTGGTTATGATATAGATATGAAAATAACAAAGAACAATGCAACAATCATGACTTCTTTTGTATTACCTGAACTGAGAAGGTGAAAATCCTTATATGATTTCTCGTACTTGCAACCATGAGCCAATGTTTTCAAATCACGAATTTGAACTGATGTCTGCTAAGCATTCAGAGTGGCAAATTCAGACATACAATTCTCAGATATTTTAATGCAATTTTTCCTGTCTAAAACAAGGCAGGTTAGCAAGGTGTGATGTAACAGTACCTTTACACACTGCCAACCATAAACAGCTTGAGAAGCACATCTGCAAGTTACAGTTGATGCAAAAAGTTGTGGCTAGCTAGGAATTAGTCATTATGATCAAAGTGTTGGAAAAATATCCTCATTTTTCCATATATGAAACTTTTAACAGTGACAGTGCTGATATATTTTTCTCATTATAATTAAGTTCCTGTTATAAGCAATACTTGACATCATGGTTCCACTGTACTTCCTGGTTCTTCAACAAATATAAACTATGAAGAAAGCAGTCTTCTGGGATGTGGCGCCGTGTAGATATTGTGTTAACCGACGTTTCAGAGGAATGTATCGCCTCCATCTTCAGGGTAGAAGAAAAAATAAAATCCACAAGCGAAGAACCAGTGTGAGTAGGTGCAAATAGACTTAATCTTACAAATACAAACTAAACGACTGTTGTGAGAACTGAGATTCTCAAATGGTTACTGTGAAGGCTACAGGCTTCTGGGATGTAACACTGTACGCTACTCACTAAACCTGATTTCCTCCTCCTCTATTCTTAGCTGAACCTCTCCCTCACATCCTTCTGGCCCATTGCTAGCACCGTGCCTTCCCCTCACCAACTGCATAGTTAGCTTAGTCAGACAAATCTGGCTGATAATTCCCAACATTTTGGAGCAACGTGCTACCTCCATTTTCAGGGTGATACATCTCAGAAGACAGAAATATGTTTAAACTATAGTTATATTCATACATCACTCTACAGCTCAAGTAAAAACAAAATATGAAACTCAAGTACAATATGAAGCCATACTTAGCAGCTGAGTCTCTTTCTCGCGTTGTTTAAACTCAAACTCCCGCCTCTTCTCTCGTTCTTGTTCAAGTAAAATACTTTGTTCTTCTTGTAATTGCTCCAGTTCCTCACGCTTCTCCCACTCCTCCCTTAGGACTCTGCACAAATATTATGCAACAATAATTGTCATATTTACCGAAGCATCACATGTCTCCCCCCACATCAGGAAACTGGTCGCGCACCATATCTGAGATAATGATTTATGTGACACACAGTTTTACACATGTAAATACAGTATGTGCCAAAATATGCAGTACTGAAACTCACGCATCTCGAACACACGTATTTGTCGATGGGACATAGCTCCAGCTGCATGTGTTTCCAGTAGTGAAAAGGAAGCTGTGTTGTGCAGTTGTTGTTGGAAATGGGTTACTCGACAGAGGAAAAAGTATTCATAGTTGAGTATTATTTCCGCTCATATGGAAGTGGTCGCCAGACAACTCGCTTCCTTGGTTTTGAGTGGCCAGATGTTATTGTCCAGAAACCGCTACATAGTACATGTGTGACGATATGCTGTGCCGTCTCAGCACACGGTATATTAGGCCCCTATTTCATTGAGGATGAGGAAGGCAATGTTCTGACCGTCACCCAAGAATGCTACAGGGACATGGTGATCAGACCATTTCTTCAGGATTTGAGAAGGTTCTGTCGTGAAAGGGGCCTTCACATGAATAGACAGGACGGCTTTTCATTTCAGCACTGTATTTTTGGTGCATACCATATATAAGATGCAGTAGAAGACTCTTCTACATAGTTTAAATGAGCTGTATCTTTGCTTACTTTGCTAAATATGGCATTCTCAATCACACTATTCTTTCATCCATGACAGGTTTTTAGTGCTGTTCAAGTCAACTGCTATTACAGCTGTTTGAAATGAACAAAACAAAGCATGTGTAATTGTATACTATCTGTGAAAGCGATTAGGATTAAGAGGCGAAGAAATAGAGAATCATGTCACAGTCAGAACATTTGATGAGTGAGTTACATCCAAGACTTAAAAAAAATCATTTCCTACAGAGTGGCAGTCACAAGTGGGCTTCTCTTGGGAAAGAAGTGAATTTCAGCAGATCTTGTCATTAAAAGTGATCAATGAAGTGGAATTTTGAACAGTGTAGACAGCTGATAGAATGTGGCACACCACGATGATGCCAATGATGATGATATCAATTTATATGGCAGCAACAGCTGAAGCTGAAGTATGATTGTGAAACCAGTATATTTACTTCTTCACAGACCAATACCTTAACATGGTTAGAGGGTTTGCTAATTTCAGTAACCCTGAGAGCAATGCCAGCTGGACTGTAAGCTCTGGGAATTAGAATGAAATATAAACAAGTTAAAAAGAAGCAAAAATGGGAAAAATCCTGGCACAAATAACGTAAATGTAGAACTAATCATGTATGCTCCAAAATAAATACATGAGCACATTTTAGGAACCATAAACTTATGCTGGCAAGAAATGAAGACTGCTGAAAGTAGGAGAGATGCTAGAATACTGCCAATTTTTAAAAAAGGGGGCAGAGAAAGATGTGAACATTATTGGAGAATTGCCTGTCGTGTTTAATTTATATCTGGAGGACGATGTGAGAAGACAGCCATCACAGCAATTACTTTGAATTGTCCATATAAATTTTGGGAAAGAAATGTTATGAAAAGTTCAGCTATAACCTCAAGATATTTACTGAGAAAACCACAGCAACAGCATTCATGAGGAAACACCCAATTAGATCAGAACTCATCTTGGAAAATCAAGTGACGGAATAGGTAATAAGTGTAATTTTTTGGGATGTTATATCTCATATCTGGGAGAACCAGATATAAATCACAAAACTGAAAAATTTACATGTGTGTGTGTGTGTGTGTGTGTCACACCATAAGAAGAAACTTCAAAAATAAAACAAGGACGGATATTCAGACAAAGTTCTATAAAACTTATGACAATAGGGAGCGGTCCATATGATTGTGAAACATGATAATGACATCAAGAGACAAAAGTAGATTGCAGACTGCTGAGTTGCGATTCTTAAAATCGGTGACTAGAAAACAAGACGAGATAAAATTTAAAATGATATTAGGAATAAACAATTACAGACGGAAAGTTTTAATGGCACTATTAACAAAGGCAGAGAGAATGGAAAAACCATGTACAGTGCATAACTAAAAACAGAATTCCACCACAAAAAATGATGAACTATTGATTTCAGGGAATAAAAAGCCATGGACAATCCATAAAATGATGGCAAGACCAAACCTGAGGAGCCACAACAGGCCTTGGGGCCTAATGTCTGATGCAGAAGAAGCTATTTTATCCCTTTTTCATGTTATTGCAGTTTATCAACCGAATAACGGCATGCGAAATGTTATTGGAAACTTCACNAATTTTGGGAAAGAAATGTTATGAAAAGTTCTGAGGGCAAAGTTCCCTGGATGGCTCATCTCACTTTGAGTGACATCCCGTGGGCAACGCACTCACTTGATCTAATGCCCTGTGATTTTTTTTATGGGGATACCTCAAGGCAGAGGCTTTTAAACATCGCCCCACAAACCTGCTTCAGCTGAAGGTTATTCAGCAGGAAGTAGCCCAAATTCCAGTGCACATGTTGGAACATGCAGAGGGGAACTTCAGAAAACGGTGGCATCAGTGCATAGAGAACAGTGGCCACCACCTTCAAGATATTTTGTTTACAACTACATGATTTAAAACTTTAAAGTATGTTCTTTCATTAGCTAAACATAAATTTTGTCTATCAGCAATAATTTTTCTTTTATTCGCCTTCAAAGAAGGAAGTTTCTGCACCTCACCCTGTACTTCACTAATTTAAAAGTTATTGCTTCCAGAAACATTCATCCCTGAAAAAATAAAATGTCAAGTTACTAGCTTTCTTACCATTGTGGCTCTAGCACAGAGGACAGTTCACTGCTGATGGGCCTCGTCAAATTGCAGTGAATACTGGGCCAAGAAGTGGTCTGAGTGCTTGGGGCAACTGGAAGCTGTCCCCCCTTCATGTCATTAGAGAATATAGAACTTACTCACCTAGCCTGCAAGTTTCGTACAATCTCTTCATCTCGCTTGGCTTGAGTCTCCTCTTCCAGTAATTTTTCAAGTCTGGCACGAACATTTTCCAACTCTTGGAGCTTCCGTTCTTCTTCATGATGTATAGCCTCGAGGGCACGGGCCTGGCTTTCAGCTGCTACTCGAGCCTATGAAATAAGTTGCATGGAAATAGCAATAACATTCTTATGCAAAGCAAAACCAAAACAATCAATTCAAGCCAAATAACTCAAGAACATATTTACCATTTTTTCAGCCTGCAACTGAGCACGGGTCTGTTCCATATCTAACAGATGGCTGCTACGACGGCGGATTTCTTCGCTGCGACGGTCTTTTTCTGCTACATCACGCTGCTGTCGGCGACGATGGGCCTGCAGACGCTGGTATCCAGTACCTGAGCTATGAGCAATTGCAGTCTGCAATGCAGATAGCCACTGCAAGCGGCTGCAATGGTCTAGCACGGCTAACTCAAAGTTACGTTCTCCAGTATACAGCATAAACCTCTGTACCTGTAAATTCAATAAATGAGATTTTACAAGGTGCTATCAGAAAGTTCCCCAACTGTTACTGTTGTAACTGCCTTAGTGAAAGAAGATGAGAGGGGAGGCCAAGGTCACACTTCCACAAGCCTATTGCATCAGTCTGCCACATGACACCACACTGTGAACATGCATTGTTTTTACATGAGTGCTTTTCTGGCTTGTTTCATTTTGTCTGTGATGGATGACAAAATTCAACAATGTGTCCCCGTCAAAGTTTGCATGAAGCTCAGCAGATCCACTACCAAAACCCTTGAAATGCTTCATGAGGCTTTTGGAGAACATTCTTTATGCCAGACAGCTGTTTTTGAATATCATTCACATTTCAAGGTGACCAAGCACCAGCAAAACGACAGAAAATGTTGAAAAATTTTGATAACTCATCCATGAAGACCACTGCTGAACAATACAGTCACCGCTGGGATCAGTTATGGAGTTTGCCTGGAGATCTTAACAGAAAATTTGAACATGCGCCACACGGTCGCAAAGTTTGTTCCCCCGACTCTTGACAAATGATGAAAAGCAGCAGTGCAAAAAAGTGTGTCTTGAGCTATGAGAGAAGGCTAACGAGGACCCAACTTTTAGCTCCAGGATCACAATGGGTGATGTAAGTTGGATTGACGGTTATGATCCAGAAACAAACCAACAATCGTCACAGTGGAAAAACCCACAATCATCAAGAGCAAAAAAGGCTGCAGCAGGTCTGGAGTTCAACAAAGAGCATAGTCATTGATTTTTTGATGTTAAGGTGATTTTTCACCCTGAATTTGTTCCTCCTAACACTAAGGTCAACTCTGACTTTTACTGTGAGGTTTGAGATGCCTGGGAGAAAATGTGTGACATAAAAGACTTGAACTTCGGCGCAACCACAACTGGGTCCTCCATCATGATGATGTGCCTGCAAACATGTCCCTGAAAACCACAGAGTTTGTAACTAACAACAACATGGTTAGCATTCCCATCCTCCCTACTCACCAGACTTAGCCCCCTTTCGCTTTGTTTCCCAAACTGAAAATGAACCTGAAGGGATGTTCTGAAACTGTCTTGATATCCAAAGGAAATTGCAAGAGGTACTCGACAGCATTAAGAAAAATGACTTCCACGGTTCTTTTAAGCATGGAAAAAATGATGGGATTGCTGTTTACATTCCAAAGGAGAATATTATGAAGGAGATGGCAGCCAAAATTGAGTAAGTTAAGCCAGCATTTCTTTTTTAATAGTCTTGGAACTTCCTGATAGTTTACAACTGTTGGCAAATAAATTGTAGAATTGTTCTGTTTTACAGCACTTTGTAACAATCCTGTTTCTAATTTTGGATGATCACTCCACATTGTGGTTGGCTGGTAAAAGATTTCAAGAAAGAAACAGCCAGATCCTCCAAAACATCACCAAATCATTCTTCCAGAATGAAAAGTCATTACTGAAGAACAAGAACAAGATTAACATAATTACATTTTGCGTGAAAGTAATGAGTGGTAAACAAGATTAACATAATTACATTTTGTGCAAAAGTAATTAGTGGTAAAGAACAGGTGTCCAAGTCTGATTGACTTTTAATTATTTAACAATACTCTTTTACGTGTGCTGTAGTACAGATATCTGTATGAACAGAAAGATGTACAGCACGGGTTCTTAAACTCTCAATTAGGTCAAAGATACCACTCAGCAAAACATATTACTGAAGTGGCTGACAACCCTATGCTCAAATGTGCATACTTCATTACATTTAAACACATAAGACAGATCTTATACACAAATGTAGTCCAAAGCAGGAAACACTTTACTATCATACCGACCTTATCCCGTCCACTGCTAGGGCAGGCATCCACATGACAATGTGCATTAAGCGTAATGGTTCCACACTGTTCCCGCTCATCCTGTGCTTTGTAATAGCTAAGTTCTGTGGGTTGCAGGACAAACCAGTACTCACGTAGAGTGGGAAATAAATAACCTCGCTTCAAAAGAGGACCTTTTTTGATTACATCATACAGATACGTGTTGTACATGTCTGTAACTGCCTCATCAATACAATCTTGCTCCACAGTGAAACTGTCCAGATCTCCACCTACGCATTTTGCTTCAAGAATAGCGAGAAACGTAGAGAAACGGAATGCCGTTGTCACACCAACTAATGATACAACTCCTGATAATGATGCATCATTTTCGGACATTCCCAATGCAGAAGCCAATTGGCAAGCTACGGCACGAGCTTCCGAAACATGGAGAAGAACCTGAAACAAGAATTTACAGCAAGAAAAGGATAACATTCTTGTGGCTTCATAGATGGAATCCATATAGTCACAAATTATATTATATTTGGATAAAAAGAGCTCAGAACCTTCTACTATCCTTACTTCAAAGAATCGTGTATTTAATTAGAATCTCTACATTCATTGAACTGCACAGAATGTAAAATGATTACATAACAAAAAGTTCAAGTCTGTTTGTCCATATACCTATATGCTTCATCTGTGAAGTTACTCAAGAGATTTGAACAAAATTTGATACTGAAAATGCTGCATTAAAATTTTCAAAACATACTTCAGTGACAGAATCAGTGAACTAAAAATACAGATTTTATTGTTAGTGCCTGAAGGGCATAAAGACCATAGAAAACATATATAAATATATCAGTGCACAGTACATAATGTACAATTACCTGTCACTGACATAACGGGTTGCCATCACAAGTTACAACATTTTATTCCCTAAGAAAAAAAAATTGTTGTAATAATTGATAACATTCACAGTTGACACCACTAACATCTTCACAGGGCGGTATATCTTCTCAGACAGAGAGCATAACGAGGAACAAAATGAGATCACAAAATCATATTGTTTATTATATGGAACAAGAATTGTAACAGTCAAAAATATTGGCACCCTAACTGAAACTTCGCCCAAACATTTCATCTACATGTAAACTACAGCTTTAATATCATTTTTACCTGAAAACAGTCATGGAAGTCAGTACTATCATCTGGTACTAATTCGGCAAGAAGACAAAAGATGCGGAATAACTTATATACACAATTATCTTGGAATACAGGGCGTTCTCTTTGATCCAAGTAACGTTTCTGACACACCAGCCAGCAAACTTCATCTATCTTTTCTTCCAAATCTCTCAATGCACTCAGAGACAAGGCAGAGTCAGGAAGGGAAGTGAACACCTGAAAAAAAGTTGCACAGCAAGTTAATCAACTATCAGCATTATTTACAAGTGCTGATTTCCATCCTCGGTTCACCATTTAATTCATCTCTGTGTAACATGATCAGCTCTGAGTGGTGAACATCCTTCTTCACCATGGATAGTATAATAAACCATATGAGCACACAATTCTAGGGAAAATTTGTAAACTAGAAAACAAAAGAAACCTCATATGCAGCAGTGAAAGGAGCCAAATGAGAGTTATGAATCTGCAAAGGTAAATGAGTCATTCCATTCCAAATCAACAAATGGTGGTGGCTGGATTTTTTATTTTGATGAAAAATTGGGCTGTTTATAGGCCATTGTGACCTAAGTAAAATTGTAAAATTCTGTGTCCACACTTTGAAGTGTGGGCACATATCATTCTTCACTCGGTAGTGGTCTCAATATATTAAAAAAATTGTAACCCCAAAACTAATATGTGGAATTCTGTGAAACTCAAGTCATATAAAATATATACAACAAACTATCTAATGGTATAGTAAAGTTTGTTGCATCCTACATTTTTCAAAGTGCAAAATAATAAAACTGTAAACTTGCATTAATAACATACAACTTCCATTTATGTAAAACAGCTTCAGTGAAGAACAATTCAATGGAAATTTAATGAGGTAAGAGTCACTGTTTTCCTACCATTTGGTGTAAAGTTCAACTTGTTTTTTTCAATCTATGTCTGAGCTCTGCACATTTCAAAGGAAAGAAATTTCTGTATCACAAATATCATGGAATATGAGGTGGTAGAGAGAGAAAGCGAAATTCATTCTCCGTGGCTGGTTATATTTGCTGTGCTTTCCTTTATACCTATACTAGCAGCACACGGTTCAAGGTTCAACATTATAATGATGATATGTTAGGAATGATGAACAGGAATATCAGTTTAACACCTGAACAGTACTTAACTGTATTATGAAGTGTGTTAAACATTATAGCGGCACTAATCTAACTGCCATGTTCCTTATACACAACTCTAAAAATGTATACCCATTCAACTGTTTATTAAAAATCACTACATGTTACAATGTTGCAATTCGAAAACACTTGTAAGTACTGTATCATCTGATGAAGATAAGGTGGATGATCGAAACATGCAGTGATTTTTAATATATAGTTGAATGGGTATTCATTTTTAGAGTTGCATAGACGGAACACGGAAATTAGATTAGTTTGATCACACAACAGGATGCACTCTATAAAGATTATGGCAGCACTATGTTTTGGACAATTCTTCTGTTCCTTATTTATAATGAATAATTATAAATATCATAAGTCAAGAACCACAATGGCGCCCTGTTCAACAGATGAATTAACGTAAAATGACTGCACTAATTATACTAGCCATCAGATGAAGAGAGATTAAGAAACCCAGTTCACTTGAAAACAGTATGTACATCTGCATCACCAGAAAAATACTGTAGGACATATACTCATTTGTTTGGAGGAAAACATTGCAATCTTTACCAGAGACCCAAGGCAGCTGTGAAGATAATGCATAATACATCATGTATTTTTTTTTATTGGCACTACAGCCCCAGTGGGCCTAGGCCTACCTCCATGAACTTCTCCGTTCACATACATCATAATATATCATTAAAATTTGCATACCAGGTACAACATTCTTCACCTACATCAGAACAGTCATTTTATTTAAAATGTTACATAAAAATTAAAACACAATAGCATTGGATCAGGTGATCCTCAAAATGATCTTGCATGCATACCTGAAGCACTGTCCACCACAGAACTGAGAAAGGCTATTCACGTTTTATTCTCTGAAGAGAGTGTTTCAACTATTAAAGAGAAACAAATGAGTAATGAATAAAAAACTGCTTTTGTTAAGTGGAAATTAAATTAGGTATCTTCTGCTGTAAAGGACAAACTTAAAGAAAAAGACTGTCACACTGGATCTAAGAAATTGTGGAGGATATAAAAAATGTAAATTGATCTGCCTTCGTGGATAAAATCACTGAATTCTCCAAAATGTTACACTGAAACTTCAGTCAGCTCTGAGAGCAGAAAAGTGAAGTCAATTTCACCGATACACCACAGATGGTCACTGCATAGATTTGTATGTTTCTCAATTCATTTTGACAAAAGGAAGAGCTCTGCAGCAATGTTGTAGCATTCTTCTGGAAGTTAAAAAATGAAAGGTCAGCTTTTGTCAGATGCATTATACAATCACCCAGTTTTATGATAACGATGAGTACAGTTGTCCGTGTCTTGGCAAAAAGGACTTTGTGCCTGTAAAACTGGAATTTCAAGAAACCACACACTCAGAACACATGAAAAGGAGATTAATGTTGTAAAATCTTCAGCAACTGTATGTGGAATTTTGTGAGAACAACAGGCTGTTTCAATTTAACTTTCCAAATCTGCTGCGTTGCTTCCAAAGAAAATGCCTTCTTGCAGGAGGTGCAAGAGGGAACCATATAGCGTGTCTGTGTAATTCATCAGAATATAACACTCGTGGTGCAATGGACACATCTCACACCTGATCTGAGCACAAAAACCCTTCTTGAAAAAATGCTCAACAGAACGTACATGGTTTAACACAGCGTACAAGCTGCCCTGAATCTGATACAAGTTACTCTTTACAATAAACAATTTTGGATTTGGAGATGGAATCATGTATAGACAGTGAGTGATGACAGCCCACTCAACATTAATGACTGTTGTTGTTCCATGTGAATACTTTGGTGATGATTTAACTGTTCTTATAGCTTTGTAGCTCAACACAAGCCCCAAGTCCTTCTAACCCAGAGCAAAGAAGGTTTAAATGAACATGAATATGGTGAGTTTTGCAGAAAATTACTCTCTCATGGTTCAGGATGCACTGCAAGTGCATCATTTCATCCTACTGATGCATATATATATATATATGTGCATCAATCTGGATCTCCAACTAAACCAAGACCTATTTCCTTGTGTATTGATAACGACCAAATAGAACATGTAACAAGAACATTTTACGCTTTTCAAAAGGTTGTGATTTAGTATAATTTAAAAAAATTCTACCCATTTAGAACAACTTTGGAAATGCTGCAGAGTGACACTTCTTTGCCACTGGTCATGAAAAAGTCTCGTGATACTGTAGGTGCCACAACAAAATAGCAGGTAGACACAGCAAGTCTTCAAGGTCCTTATGATTAACATAAACTGGCACACTAAGGTTTTGCATAAGAAAACATTCATGGAATAAAATATTTTGTTTATATCAGGTAGACATGACAGAAACTCAAACAGAGCTAAAATAATGTTTCAACAACTGTATGCAGATTCCAGACATCAGGGAGAAGAAATGTGCCATATCAATAAGGCTGAAACATGATGTGAGTTTTTCTAGTTCCTGATTCAAGCGAATTCCTTTATGCCTGTTTCTTATGGCAGTATTCAGCACCTACTCACATCACAGTAATGCTGCCTATACATACGGTAGGAAGTGATGGATCACTGTCATGATGGGATAAAAATGATGGCAATATGGGCTGCCTTGTCAAATTCACACATCCTGAGGATCCACCACCATTCTTCAACAGGACACAGAAGTGACATTTGTTGGGATGACACAGAAAGCATGCTGAAAGTGATACAACCACTGACAATAGGGCCAGAAGCTACAGTAGAGCAGAACTGAACTGTTCTACGAAAAATGAAGAAATATGCATTCAGTGGTTAGCGCACTCACATGCATGACATGGAAACACAATGTCAGCCAACGCCATGCTTACAAGTTTTATGCTGCCATAACCTGAAGAATGACCAAATGTGCACCATTGTGCTCAAACAATCATACCTCAGCCAGGGAGTGAAAAGGCGTGTTGAAATTTATACTATATGTAGGGGAAACAGTGATTGCTGTATCCTCAAATTTTCAATAGGTTGTCCTCTACCTAAAAAAAGTTATGTAACTCAAAACGTTACAATTTCTTCATGAGTAATTTGACCACATATTCTTTTTTACATTTTGAAAAACTCATGTTATAATAAAGTTGTGTATGTCATTTGGTAGCTTCTTATGTGAATTGTGTACAATTTCACTTTCATACAGAAATGGGAGATACAATGTATCGTTTAATGCTTCCATAATTGACGTGAAAACAGCCAGTATCATACAGACTTTGACATTCTCGGTCATCATAATCTCCAAGTAAGTTAAAGGTAAATTTGTTCCTGTGCTTAATTAATTAAGCACCACATCATGAAGATGTATGGATGAGTAGAAGTATAGCTCCACCATTCTTGACCTCATCATTAAACAAAGGAGACTAGTCACCTTCATACCCCAGCTGCTTCTGGGTTGTAAGACAAAATATTTTGTACTTTTGCTTGTCATACCAACCTATGGCTCTACTAAGCTTCATTCAATTAGAAAAATTCAGTTACCACATACTGTTGGCAAAATTTGTTGATTTGGCACGAAATACCTTTAGGTAAAGTTATCCTTGTGCTTAATTAATTAAGCACCATCACATGAAGATGTATGGAGGAGTGCAGATATGACTACACATTTTTAATTTTGGCACTAGCTGGAGGCTTTATGGTCAATTTTTCTCAGCTCAGTTGTAATGGAAATGGACAAAGATGTAAGAACAAAATAGAAGAGGAAAATTGTACCAATTTTTGCTCTCATCAACTATAATAACATATCACACGGTTGGAAAGGGTGTATACCACAATGTAAAGGTAAAGCTATCCCTGTAACAGACCGTGAAGGCCCATAGGGTTGTGAGACCTCAAGGCTCCCAAATTTTTCTAGACAGTTGGCTCACAGGTGGCGGTAAGGTTGTGAGTCTTATGCGCCGTCCGCCCTTTACCCCCAGAAACATTCCTGGTAATCATTTCTGTTAAGAGTCTGTGTCGACACCAGGGCTGTAGTGGGGCTGGAAGAATGAAGTAAATGGAGAATATCCACCTCATCAGTACTCAAACCCTCGACCTTCCTGCTTGTAGCATTGTGCCCCAACCATGCTACCACATGCCGCAGTATTGCACAAAATTCCAAAAATTGTTCTTTCCAACTTATTAATATTTTTGACCTGTTCATGAAATTTGATTAAAGTTTTACAATGTACATGAAAAGTTTATCTATAGCCTTAAGTAAAGCAGACATTACTATGGGTCAATATGAAGGTAAAAAAAAAAGCTATCCTCTAACAGGCCATGGAGACCCATAGGGTTGTGAGACATCAAGGCTCCCACATTTTCTAGAGAGTCGGCTTATGGATGGGAGTGAGATTGTCAGAGACAGACAGATGTGATCTCCACATATTCTTTTTTGTTTTCTGAAGAATGCCTAGGTGATATATGGAACACCACTGAACTAACACAACCAGTTTGACTAAACTCATGATGCTTTCAGATATCAGAATTAGTTTATTATTAATCTAAACGGTTCTTCCAACAGACAAATTGCATGACTATCAAATTATCTGCCTCCAGTCACTTTGTAACATCTTTATCAAGCATTTTGAAAAACTGGGTCATGACATGGCGCAATACAAAATAATGATGTGGTTCAAGTACATAAATGACAAATTTGTGGTCTGACCAAATGGTCCAGAGAGGTTATATGATTTCATCAGTCACATCAAGTTTAAGATGATACAGTTTGCCATGGAAATAAATCAGGCAGTACAGTTCCTCTTCTGGATGTACTTGCCATCATAAATGTGCTGGCACTGATAACCTAAATATATAGAGTCTGCCAATATTAGCCCTGCCTTTTTTTTTATTGCTAGTGGGGTGGGACTAAGTCCCTTGTACTGTGGCCACTTCTGGCCTATTGTACCAGCTCCAGATGATAGCTGAGGGTATTTGTCGAGCAATTCGTGGAATGAAGACTGGCAGGGGAAACTGAAGTACTCAGAGAAAACCTGTCCCAGCGCCACTTTGTCCACAGAGGTCACTAATGATAGGCTGATATTTGCCAATTTGAGTTTCCTTCTGCATCACTATTTTTAGATGACATGCTGAATTTGGTTTGACAGACTTATTTTTCATTCCCTGCTTTGTCTTACTTTTAGGTCTTCATATCTCCACAAGTTGTGGAGTAAATGTTATTATGTCCCTTTGATGGAACCTGATCATAGGTATTTATATAAATATAGTTGGGTGACTTACATTGTCTGATACATCACACAGACCTGAGGAGCCACATTCCCTCCTAATTGCATTAGCATGAAAACATATAAAACAGAGTGTCCTGTCTGAAATGCTACATAAAAGACAAAGATGAAGTATTAGGACACTGCAAACAAAAACAAAACTCCGTGGATTTAGTCCGCAAGTGAACTATACCGACCGAGCCACCACCACTTGCCGGAGAACTTAGTGCCAACTTTAGCGTGGTCGGCGCAACAGATCCCTACGCCCCTTAATTTCGGTTTTCTACACCGAAGCCGCTACTTTTCCATTCAAGTAGCTCCTCAATTATCCTCACGAGGCTGAGTGGACGCCGTTCCAGACCCACTACTTCACAGATAATCTGGTAGCGCCGGGAATCGAACCCGGGACCTCTGCATCCGTAGTCATGAACTCTCACCACTAGACCACACAAAAGCGGTATTAGTACACTGTACATTAAATAAAATCACAGCAAGCACATTGGTGTAATTCCATAATTTTATTGTTAGGTATTTTAGACAAACATATAAAAATTATATACTCATGAAAGTTATATTTTAATAATAACAACAATGCCCTTATGTACAATACCAGTACCTCTTTTTGAAGGTAATATTTGTAATGCTCGAAGTTTAGGCTTGATGTACTGCGAAAATGTTCCAACCCCTTTTCAACTCCATAAACATCTAACAGAGTGCCGATATTAGCAGTCAAGACCTGCAAAATAAAACGAAGGCAAATTATCCTACAAGCCACACCTGTTTTCGGTGTATAAGTTTCGAAATATGTATAAAAATCACACAAATGCTAAAGATTCATACATGTACATCACCTTAAGCTTAGATTTCATAACAAGTCCATTTCTATCTGTCGTCAGAGAATTAAAGGCATGCCATATACTATTCGTTACGTTCCGAAGAAGTACAGACATATTTAACACTCCCAAACACAAACATATGACCATATGACCATGACGACCATGACTAACACCTTGTACGCGAGTAGCTTAGCGCTATTCATACGTTCAGCGTTGCAAACGGAAGGTCGATTCACACCACAAACGAAATCACACCAGCGAGACGACATGGAACGTCCACCTATCGGTGAGATAACAGCATATTACCCCCATTTCGCGGATTCTAATTCATTCGTGATATCTGGAGTTCTCATGGCTGCGATTATGAAGATTTCTGTCTTTTGGCATGTGACGACCTGCAGTCTGAGAAATAGTTACCAACGCTCTGGAGGAAAAGTTGCCTCAATCTCCAAGTGCCTGCCTGTTGAGTCTACCGCCGAAATGCAGAGAGTAGGTTTCTCCGAAACGCTGGAAACTGTCTACCAAGCTACAAGGCGTCACATCCCCTAGTTGCTTTGTTCACATATTCTGTCACCTACGTGATACTGACATGTAAAGACAATCTAGAAAAGAAAATATTACATATCTGAGAGCTCTGAAAGGTCTGGAGGGTCTAAGCAGGTCCGTGTCGGCTTAGTGAGAACAAGCAAGCAGACGGCAGCTCTTGCTCAAATGAAACGGACGTAGACGAACGTACAGAATGCGCCAGCAGGCGCCAGTAAATCTGTGATTTATCGCGGCATGGGCGAGGGCTGATCGTACTAGAGAAAATGACTGATTCTATAAGTATATGGAACGTCCTTGGCATCATTCCGAAGACACATATTACTATTTTTCAGTCCCTACAAATTTCTTAATTATAAACGCGTTTCTTCTTTGTAGGAGATCTCTCTGGAAATGGTGGCAGTTGAGTGTAGTTACAATAGGAACACTTCATCGGCAAAAAGTAATAAAGGAAAATGCCTGTAGTAGCAGTGTATGGTAAAGCTTTACCAGGTACTGAGACCAGTAAGCTGAGACCTACTCTCTACAACCAGCTTCCCAAACGATATGCCTGAAGCACTCCCCTGTAACTATTCCCCCTGCATGGCCTACGAGGATAGTTATAAAACGCCCATCAGCATTGTTTGTTGCCCCATTCTACAAACCCACTCTTGGAATAACTTTCACAGTGTCGTACTAGTTTTATGTAAAAGGAATCACAACAAAACGGATTGAGATCTGTTGCCCCACAATAAACACAAGTAATAGTTCAGAACGTGTTCTATGGACTGGTTTTGTACAACTTCAACAGAGCGATATCTTTTACATATAACATTTTTGTAAACTTGAGAGTTTTATCATTGCCATTACCCAATTTCAGGTCACCATAGCAGCGAACTGTCTAATATTAACGTATTGTATAAACGTAAATTTGTAACAGGTCACGCACGAGCAAGCAGTGATTTCTGTTGGTGTATTGATAATTTTTATATGATATGAGAAGTACTATGTAAAGGAGACAGTTTACGATCGACTATTTGTGTTTGTTATTAATGGTAGATGGTGTTAAACATGGAGTTCGACGTATCGTTCTTTAACATTTAGGACTAGAAAGGAAATGAAAGGGAAGTATTAGTTAATAGTAAGAAATATTGTACAACAAATGACGAGAAATCCCGGCGAATTCTTAGCGGGTGTTACACTAATTACCCTAATTTTCAAATACGTCGAAAATATCTTTCCTCCGGAACCAGCCCTTGGCTAAAATAGCGTGTATACTTAAGGAAGATCTTGTATTCAAATTTGTTCAAAATAAAACTATTCAGAGGTTTTTTTCTCGCATAGTATGACGGAAAGTCGTGGTCAGTATCGTCAGTAAGTTACCAATGGCATTTGGTCGAATGAATCTCTGCAGCTACGAATTCTAATTGCTGGGCTACGCACTTACTGAAACGACCAATTCCAATACCGTTGCATGGTCGCTAACGTCGCAAAGGGGGGAGACCCTGGCAACCGGTAGAAGGAAAAGCGAAACAAGCACAAGGGCTGTTTTTTTTAATTGCTAGTGGGGTGGGACTAAGTCCCTTGTACTACGACCACTTCTGGCCTATTGTACCAGCCCCAGATGATAGGTGAGGGTGATTGTGGAGCAATTGGTGGAATGAAGATTGGCAGGAGAAACTGAAGTACTCAGAGAAAACCTGCCCCAGCGCCACTTTGTCCACCACAAATCCCACTTGACCAGACCCGGGATCGAACCCGGGCCAACGCGGTGGGAAGCCAGCGACCCCAGAGACTAACCGCTTGAGCTATGGCGCGGCCATAGCACAAGGGCTGTATGTGTTGATTTCTACTATCATTTTTGAGCACCTTTCACACTGATCGCTAATCTGTACCAATCACAATACACCTATCATATTTATCTGAACCAATCAAAATCCCCCAAGAAACAGGTGTCGTGCATGTGTTTCGTTCGGATGTTGTGGTGCTTGGATATAATTACAAAAAATTTCAAGCTACTGCTTATTCTCTGCCTGATGGTGGGTTTTTATTTTGATTGGATTCATTCAAATGTGCTCGGGTGATCGGTCCTGTTCTTGGTTCAAATAAGCGACGTAGGCGACTACGCGATACATCCCTGACACTAGAATTGCTAATGTGTGCTTCCTTGTATAACTCCTGTATTTCCACGTTTAGGTGCCACTAAGTGTAATCTTCAGTAATCCGTGCTTGTCGCAGCATTGCCCATAACATTCAGTAGCGTTATCTTTATTCCGCTACATTCCGTACTTCCGTATTTCCGTATACTGTGACGACCGTGACGACTGTGAACCTGTGACTGTCATTTGTCAATTGCGGTCAGTAGGGCCGGTAGTGAACGTAGTGTAGTGAAGGTTTTGAACGTTTTGAAGGGTTAGTACTCGTAGGGCCTGTAGGACTCCTAGTATTCAAGGTACCTAAGTTTGATATGTTGGTGATGGATGTTACATAAAGTTTATAGTTTTATATTTGTCGTACCTTGGCTGCGAAAGTTTCCAATCTTGTTTCAAGCTTTTGTAGTGGATTTTAAGGTCCCCGAATTTTGAAGGAGAAGCGAGTTGTTTCGACCAATTTGATTTCAATTCGAGGAGGTCAGGTGGTATCTGATTGGCTTTGTAAGTTTCAATAAATATATAGTCTAATATATTTGTGTTTCTTCTGTTCTCATCCTGCCATCTCTTTGTGTAGGTTATTATTGTGACAGTCGCCAAGTCATTCGGAAAACAATACAATATCATACTTCTTCTGGCTTATTTTGGACTTCATCCATCATCTGGTATGTAAAAGACAAAAGACCACGACGTTTCGGAGACTGGATCTATCTCCGTCTTCAGGTGGGTAGGGAAGGATAAAACCTACTCAGTTGGCCCCGTTAGAAAGAGCTAGTCTCATCACTGGACTAGGACTAGCTCTTTCTAACGGGCCCAACTGAGTAGGTTTTATCCTTCCCTACCCACCTGAAGACGGAGATAGATCCAGTCTCCTAAACGTCGTGGTCTTTTGTCTTTTACATACCAGACAGTGGATGAAGTCCAAAATAAGCCAGAAGAAGTACAGTATACACCATCGTCAGAATCCTTTCAAGTCTAATACAATATCACTATAAAATTTTGGTGTCTACAGGAAGGCCAGGAAAGAATTTGGAGAGTTCTCCCTTCAGGGATTTAACGCCTTATAGTCCGTTGAAAACCAATGGACGTTTCGGAGAAACATGCCGCCTCTATCTTAAGGATTGAAGAATAATCCAAGCAAGAAACCAGCATGTGAAGGCAACAGCAAAAGCGGCTCTACTTGCTGTCTGCTTCATGCTGATTTCTTTCTTGGCTTAAAATTGGAGTGGCCCTGCTTGCTACCTGCTTCATGCTGGCTTCTTACTTAGGTTATACTTTGTCCCAGAAGATGGATGTGACATTTTCCAAAACATCAGTTCATTTTCAACAGGTTATGTGGTATTATATACCTGAAGACAGAACTGTTCATAGTCACCACTGCGAGAACATAAAATCCTACATGTAAGAACCCTCATAAGTGATGTGTTCATATACAATAAACAGTACAGTACAGGAAATATGTTTCTCAAACAGGGGATGTAAGGTCAGTCCATGTTAGATTTCATCTATTTACATAATGTGCCACTGACCACATGTCTGATCTAGATGTTGGAAGTATTTCAGTACACACCTCCAGACAGAAGCTGTACTAGACAACAGCCATAGCTGAAAGCATGTTCAGTTTCATTGTGGTGCACTGGGGGAACTTGTGCAAACTAAAGTACATCAGGCTGTGACCACATTTGTTCATCTGTACATCCATGTTTTGAAATCTGTTGCTCTTTCTGAATGTAGCATTGTCTTCATGTCCTAACTGAGGTAGGACTGTTTCATAGTGGAAGAGATTCAAAGGCAGCTTTGAAGGTTTTCTTACTGTTGTCATCCATTTTGCCATTTTTTTGTGTGATCTGTACCATTTCTTTTAATCATCTCTTTTGTCTTCCATATTGGTTCCCTTTGCTGAACATGTACCACATTCATTATAACATTTTTGTACTTGAAATATTGCATCTCTAAATATCGCGAAAGTTATTCCTATGATTATATATTTCTTGGATATTAGGTCCAGTGCATTCACAAATCTTCTGTCACCATGGTGCTGTCCCACAATTCTGGCACAACTTTCATCTTATGTGTCTCCATGGTAAACTAATGAAAAATGAGTGATCTCTTATGGCTGCAAATCTAGATGCAGAACCTAGACCATAGTCAGGTACACCCACATGGTGCTCAACTGAGGCCCAAATGGCGGACACCTCAAAGATCATGTAACTGTTAGTCTGTACCACTGGTATGTTACTGCTGCCAGAAACTTAAATGAAATTAATGAAAAATCCCCTGAAACAGTGTAGACCTATGTATATGTGAGGGGCTGTGTGTGATTATTCCTACGATCGGAGTCTAAGATTGCAGCTTGACAGTGGTGTCAGACTTAAATGAATTTCCTAATTATCAGTGATGTCTGTAAGAGTAACGCCTTAGACATAATTCTTGACACTGAATTTTCTAAAGCATGTGGAGATAGTAATAGGTTTTGTATTGACTTCTGAGGATAATCTAAATGTTTGATGAAAAAATTGTTAAATTAACACGTATGCTTATGAAGCTTTATGTTAAACACTGCATTTCTCTGATTAAAATCGAAATGATCTTCATTCCCATTGGAGAGCCACATTAAATATCCTGTGGCACTGGAGGAATGATCAAGTCAAGGAGGATGAGGTGGGCAGGGCATGTAGCATGAATGGGGGGAAAAGAGGAATGCATGTATAGTATAGTATAGTATTTATTGCATTCAAGCAAATCCAATTACAGGCCAACACCACTGGACACAGAACAAGTCAAATATCTTCAACAAATGCTCCAACAGTGGAACTAGTCAACATAAAATATACATCAACCTAAAATATACATAACACTATACCATGTTTAATTGTAAATAAAATAAGTTAAAATTGTAATAAAAACACATTACATAATAAATTCATTCAACTTAGTAGCTTATATATCTCAAACCATAAAAGATCACAACATCCATCAACTATAATGAGGTATGTTTGTTACATGGCATACCAGTCAAGTTGGAGATTATATCTTACATGTTCAATACCAAATAAAACCAGTCAAGGTATAAGCTTGCTATATACAATGCAGGTATCAGTGCAATATCCTTGAATGTACAACTGCACATCCAAACAATGCATGCAATATTGAATGAACATAGTAAATTACTACTCATTTATACAACCAAAATATTCATCCAAAGTATAAAAGGATTTTGAATGTAAAAAGGCGTTTAAGGCCACTCTAAATACCTTATTATCATGTACTACTTCCTTTATTTTTAATGGGAGACAATTAAAAAGTTTAATTCCATAGCAATAAGGACCCTTCTGATGAACTGTTAAATTTGTCTGAGGGCAATATAAATCTAAACCGCGCCTTGTATTGAGACCATGAATCTGTGTTGATGTATGGAATAGACCCTTATTATTTACAACAAATATCAATAAAGAAAATATATATTGGGACTGGAGTGGCAAAATCCCCCAATCCCTAAATGCTTGTCTACAGGAATCCCTTGCTCTTAGCCCACTCATAATTCTAATTATTCTTTTTTGAATTCTAAAAATTTGTACACTAAACGAGGTATTGCCCCAGAAGATAATTCCATAGGTTAAAAGTGAATGAAAATAACAATAGTAAATCATTTTTAATGTTTCGGTAGGCATGATGGGTTTAATAACCCTCATTGAATAACACGCCTTACACAACTTAGGTATGAGTTGGGATATATGGGCCTTCCAAGTACACGTGCTTTCAACAATTATACCCAAGAACTTCACCTCGGTACTGTTTGGGATCACATTATTGCAATAATTAACCATAACTCCGGTATTAGGACAAGACTTAGCCGCAAATTGTACATGTTTAGTTTTGCTGAAGTTTAGGGTTAGCAGGTTTGACTTGAACCACTCATTAAGGCAGTCAAAAGAGATATTCACATCCCTATTATATTGTAAGTTATTATTGCTACTAATCACCAAACTAGTGTCATCTGCGAATAAGACTGGTTTAACTGTGCTATTAAAAATTGTAGAAAGATCATTTATATAGAAAAGAAATAGAAGCGGACCAAGTATGGACCCTTGAGGGACTCCATGCCTGACAATATCCCAATCTGATCTAATAGTGTTGCTCATTTCAGTATCTGTTATTAGTACTCTCTGATGTCGATCTGATAAGTATGATGCAATTAAATCATAAAATCTACCTTATATCCCATAATATTGTAGTTTACTCAACAATATTTCGTGATTCACACTATCAAACGCCTTCTTCAAGTCACAAAAAACTCCACCTACAACTTTTTGTTTATTTAATGCTTCTAGTATTTCATTGAGTAACACGTAAGAGGCTTTAGCAGTTGAGGATTGACGTCTAAATCCAAATTGCTCATTGACTCTTATATTTTGATCATGGATATGCTGATTTAATCTAGACAAAACTATCTTCTCAAATATTTTTGAGAAGGAGGTTAAGAGGGAGATGGGCCTATAATTAGGTGGATCATTCTCACAACCGCCTTTGTAACAAGGCTTAATTTCAGCATATTTTAGCCTATCCGGAAATACGCCAGCAGACAGCATTTTATTACTAATATATGTTAAAGGAGATATTGGTATTGTAAGATATTGGTGAGAAATCCATTAGGAAAGAGACCACTGGGAAGACCTAGGGGTAGGTGGTGGGCAATATTAAAATGGATCTTAGAGAGATAGGATGGGATGGTATGGATTGGATTGGTCTGGTTCAGGATATGGACCAGTGGAGGCCTCTTGTGAACATGGCAATGAACCTTTGGCTTCCCTAAAATGTTGGGAAATTCTTGAGTAGCTGCATATTTGGCAGGGCTCAGCACCAGGAAGTGATAATGAAGGATTTAAAAAAACATGTTTCTAATATTTAATTGCGTGCAGGCGTGAATAGATGTGCTGCAGGAGAAGAGCCTGCCATGAAAATAAATGAGAAGAACCTTGCTGCGTTTGCCTCTTCGGCAACACCAGTGGACAGAGAAGGCTGGCTTGTAAAGCGGAGTGAAGTAAACAAAGGATATCAGAAAAGGTGGTTTGTGTTGAAGGGCAATCTTCTGTTTTACTTTGAGAAACGTGGAGATAAGGAGCCCGTGGGTGTGATAGTGCTAGAAGGTTGTACCATTGGTAGGTATATTAACTGTACTTTTGTAACCTTATCTTCTTCACATCCCTTCAGTCTGTTTTACTGTCTGATGGAATTTCTTTATTAGCAAATGTACGGAAGTGGTGATGCATAGATTTTCTTTCTTGGTGACTGTAAGTAAGTGATACAGTAATCTCCCAGTTATTTGGTACCTGTGCATCCTGAATACTTGCACAGTTGACAAAATTTGAAATGAAAACAGACTCAAATTTACCATCTTTTGAAGTCATTAAAAAAATTATAATGCACACATTTCACCCATCACACAGTAGTTCTTCCAGTCCAGTAGCAACTTTACCCATTCTCCTTCATGCAGATGCCATTATATTAGACCAGAGCTGAATTTGTAAGTCCATTAATGCGTGTGTATACTTATATATATATATATATACACACACACACACACATAGTTGGAACATTAATAGTGGCAACACTGCTGTAGAGACACCATGCAACGGAACCAAATGTCNTTAAGACGGAGTTTGTCTCATATATATTGTGTGAGTGTAACAGGATGCTTAAATATAATATTATAATGTTGCTTATACCACACGTTAGTCACATACCTACCTTACCTCAGAGCAAATGGACTCTCTCTTCCCACATCATGTGCATGCACAGTGATGAGAAGAACAAAGCCTCGTGTTAGCTGGTGGTCTAATGTAGTGTTGTCACGATGTTTTCGAAACAGGAACAACGGAGTTGGATAAAGATTGAATGTGCCAGAGGCCGTACAGCACCACAGTGTCATCAGGGTCTTCAAGAGTCTTGCGGGGAATCTGCATTGCCTTACAGAACAGTGGCACGATGGGTAAAAGTCTTCAACGAGGGACGCCAAAATGTGGCAGACATGCATTGGGCAGGTCGTCCTAGTGTCAGTGAAGGAGAAGTGTATGTTCTTTCCGCATTACTGGAGAGTGATCGACGCCATACGATTTGTGAGCTGTCCCGAGAGACAGAATTAGCGCATATGACTGTTCTTCACATTCTGAAGGAACACCTGGGCATGAGAAAAATTGTATCATGACGGGTTCCACATGATTTGATGGAAATGCAGAAATGGCTACGAAACGATGCTGGTCGTAACCCCTTGGAATGCTATGAGCGCGAGGGGGAGGCTTTCTTACGCCGTATCGTGGAGAAAACAAAAGTAATGAAAATTTCGAGACAACCAACCCCAGTCACAATAAAGATAGACCAAAAACAAGTGGAGAATGTGAAATGTTTTAAATATTTGGGTAGCTTGTTAACAGATGATGGAAGGTGTACTTGTGAAATTAAATCCAGGATTGCCATGGCAAAAGCTGCATTTAGCAAGAAGAAGAATCTTTTTACCAGCAAATTGGACTTAAATTTGAGGAAGAAACTAGTGAAATGCTACATTTGGAGCATAGCTCTGTATGGGGCTGAAACATGGACACTTAGGGCAGTAGATCAGAAACATCTGGAAAGTTTCGAAATGTGGTGTTGGAGAAGAATGGAGAAGATCAGTTGGACCGATTATGTGAGAAATGAAGAAGTGTTAATTAGAGTCAGTGAGCAGAGGAATATCCTACATGAAATAAGAAAACGGAAGGCTAATTGGATTGGTCATGTTTTACGCAGAAACTGCCTTCTAAAAGAAGCTATCGAAGGAAAGATAGATGGGCGGATAGAAGTGACAAGAAGACGAGGAAGAAGACGTAAGAAGATGCTGGATGACCTTGGGGACAGAAGAGGATACTGTCATTTGAAGGAGAAAGCTCTAGATCGCATTAAGTGGAGGAATTGTTTTGAAAGAGACTGTGGACCTGTCATCTTGACAGATTACTGATGATGATGATGATCATTACGCTGGATGAGACATGGGCCAAATCACATGAGCAACAAATGAAACGCCAGTCGAACAAATGGTGCCATTACAGGTTACCACAAAAATCAAAAGTTTGTCAGAACCCCAGCAATGTGAAAGTTATGGTGATTCTTGTGTATGTCTGCGATGGTGTTATCCTACCGCATACCGTTCCCAGACAGCAGACCGTCAATGTGCAGTATTACCGTTCATTTTTGGAACACAACCTGCGACCAGCTTTGAGAAAGAAGCAGCAACACTTTCTGCAGAACCCACCCATCGTTTTGCAGGACAATGCTCGGCCGCATGCAGCGCAAGCCGTGGCTGATTTGTTCGATCGATGGGGCTGGGAAGTGCTGTACCATCCACCATACTCCCTGGACTTAAGCCCTTGTGACTTTGACTTGATTCCTAAGATGAAGGAACCACTTCGTGGCATTTGCTTGAGAGCTGTTCCAGAGAGTCTTCAGGCAGTAGACCGCTCCATTCAAACTATCAACACAACAGGTGCTGCTAAAGGTACCCTTCGACTTCCACATTTCTGCCAATGGGTTGTACACAGTGCTGGTGACTACATTGAAGGACAGTAAAACTTTGAAACATGCATCTATTTTGTATCAGTTGTAAATAAATAGTTGCCACTATTAAAGTTCCAACCCTCTTATATTAAGTGATTCCTTGTACCTTGAAACATTTAAAAAATTTGTTTGTGGTGAACAGTATAGTACCCCCACTAGCTAATTACTGATTACATGACCACAGCTTAACTGCTCCTCCTTGTAGAGCCAGAGAAACAACTGCACATTAGGATAATTTAGGGTCTTGCAATTTAACTGAGCTTGTAATAACCACTTGTGTAGTCGCAGGTCTGCATTCTCTGAAAAAAAAAAATAGCAATTCAGGAGGACAGATTGGTAATTTCTCATGCATTGTCCTGCGATCTTTTACCTTTTGCAAATATGCTTGTGTGATTTCGATATCCAGTTAACTTATGTCTAGAATTGCACCAAAATTTGAGTGCATTAACCACCATAATAAAGTGTGCTCTCATTGCAGAACTGGCTGAAGATGAAGAACAATTTGGATTCAAAATTGTATTTCATGGGACAGGTAATCGCAGTTATACCCTTGGGGCAGAGTCCCAAGAAAGCATGGAACAATGGATGAAAGCTCTTGCATGTGCAAGTTATGATTACATGAAGCTCATGGTAGCCGAACTTCAGAGACAGCTCGATGAAATGGAAGGTGAGAGGATCTGTTGTGTATATTTTTGCAGTTATTGTGTATAAAACCGTGCACTGAAATGCCTTTATAAACTACCCGTTGTTCTACGAAACATCTGTCATTGTAGACTGATCTTGTAAGGAAATATGGTGATCTCAGGAAGAGATGACAAGACTCTTTTATTATCCCTTGTTTCATCAGTCCTGATCTTTTCTGTGTCATCAGTAATTCCATCTGCATTGGTCCTTTTTCTGGGTGGTCCATGCATGAACATTATATATTTTGTTCGTACTTTCTTGTCTGTTCAGAAAGATGAAAACACATTGTTTGATTTTCTTACTCAAAACGTTTGGATTGAAAGTTTTAGAGATATTGCCCTTTCAGTTTTTTTCAGTCACTTCGCTGCTATTAGAAAAAAGGTAAAAGGTAAAGCTATCCCTGTAAGAGATCATGGAGACCCATAGTGTTGTGAGACATTGAGGCTTCCACATTTTCTAGACAGTCTGCTCACAGATGGCATTGAGGTTGTCAGCCTTATGTGCTGGCCATTCTTTACCCCCCAGGTAAATTCCTGGTGCTCATTTCTGTTAGAGGCCAAGTCTACCCCAGGGCCATAGTGTGGCTGGAAGGATTAAGTCAATTGAAAAATCCAGTGACATCATCAGAAATCAAACCCACGACCTTCCACCTTGTAGCATATTGCCTGAATCAACTACGCTACCTCATGTCCCACTTCACTGCTATTACTACAGTGAAACTACAGTAAAACTACAAAGAGTTTTGTCATTTTCTTATGTAGGCATTAATTATAACAACTCGTACCACTAAAGTAAAGCTAAAGAGGAGCAGATTTCATATATGCCAAAAGAAAAATATATTCACATATGCTAAAAAATACTGTCTCCATTCGTTTACTACATTACTAGAAGGTTGAAAAAGAAATAGTTTTTTAAAACATTTCATATATTTGCTTTCACACCTGACACCATGCTGTTATTTTTTCTGTGAAATATGTGAAGTCGTGGTAATGTGGGAAAAATTATATATTGTTCTGAAGAGTGAATATATTTTATAGCTCTGAACAAGTCACCTACTAAAACTTGATAGAGGAAAGTGAATGTGTTCTGATTGTTTTACTTGTACAGAATAGCTCCAATATGTTGGAAATCTTAGATTAAATGTGGCACACATTTAATATGTTATATGTTAACACACTGAGATCATATCACACTAATTGTAGTTCTGTTAAGTATTTCATTCAGGTTTGACCATATTCATCTTAATTTTTCAAATTTGAGATAACTTTAATAAATTTACCATTGGCCATTTAAATATTGAAAGTCACCTTTGGTGATGAATTGTTTGAATTTCTTTACATGGAGGTTTTACAGAAAATATATTAACAAATTTCTATCAACTTTTGTCTCATTAGAATGTGAAGCAGCAACCATGAGGCAGAATCAAGCTATACATATTAATTCCACCACTTTATCTCAGAACTCTGAGTCTACAGAAATGAGATCTGGAAATTCACCCATGCCTCCACCACGCCAGAGGCATAACCCATTCAACAGGGTACAACAGATAGGTAGTTTGGATGGCCAAATGCTGTCTGGTGGACCTCATTGCCGTTCTCACAGATATAGCTCTGTTCCTGGCAGGCCTGATGGAACCTCAAGGCTGATGGAAAACATTCCACGGACCAAAGTGACATTCAGGGAATTACACACTGCGTATGGGAGACGCGTTCTAAGTGACTTCAATGCCTGGAGACATGCAAAGAGACAAGAACAGGATAGAAAGCAGGGATCTGGGTTGACACAGGAATTATTGATAACTTTGTGAAACATAGAGAGAGTGATGAGTTTAGATGTTGAATATAAGGTTACCAGATTAAATGAGGNCCTAGAACAAGGATGCTGAAAAGGGGATTCACTCACGCATTGAGCTGAGCCCTTCTTGAGAAGCTGCAAATTGTGCAGCTACTCAAGAATTCCCAGCATTTTATGGAACCTGAAGGTGTAGTACTGTGTTCACAAGAGCCCTCCACCATCCCCTATCCTGAGCAAGATTAATTCAATCCATACCATCCCATCCTATCTCTCTGAGATCCATTTTAATATTGTCCACCCATTCATGTCTTAGTCTTTCCAGTGGTCTCTTTCCATCTAGCTTTCCCACCAATATCTTACATGCATTCCTTTTCTCCCCCGTTCGTGCTATATGCCTGGCCCATCTCATTCCCCTTGTCTTATCATTCTAATTATACTTGGAGAAGTGTACACGTTATGAAGATCCTCATTATGCAGTTTTTTCTAACCTCCCATCACTTCATCTCTCTTCTGTCCAAATATTCTTCTCAACACCTTGTTCTCAAACACCCTCAGTCTTTGTTACTCCCCTAATGTCAGAGACCAAGTTTCACACCCGTACAGAACCACCGGCAAAATTATAGTTTTGTATATACTAATTTTTATGCTTTTAAACAGCGGACGAGAAGACAAAAGATTCTTGACTCAATGGTAGCAAGCATTACCCTAGTTCAGTCTCCACTTAATTTCCTCCAGAATCAGGTTTTGATTTGTTACCATTGTTCCCAACTATCTGAACTGTGCCACATTTTCAAAGCAGCTGTTACCTATCTTTATTTAATGATTTTGCCCTGCATTTTGGTGATGAGACAGCAACATATACTTAGTTTTCTCTGTGTTTACTTCTAGACCAACCTCCTTACTAGCATCAGTTAAAGTTTGTGTGTTTTTCTTTATGGTATCTATATTATCACCCAGTAGACTCACATCATTGCCATAGACCAACAGCTGATGTGTCCTGTATAATTTCAGCCCCACGTGATTTTCCTGGACCTTCCTAATGGCATATTCTAAAGCAAAGTTGAAAAGGAGTGGCGATAAAGCATCACCTTGTTTTAGACCATTCTGGATAGGAAATTTCTCAGACAGCTGTTTACCTATATGAACTTACTATATGTTTCATTTAAACACATTTTAATCAGCCTAACTAATTTCATGGGCACCCCGAACTCCATCAGGATATTGTACAGTAGTTCCCTCCTAACTGAATCATAGTCTTTCTTGAAGTCTACAAATAGCTGAAGTACTGTCTATTGTACTCCCATTTTTTCTCCTATTTATGACGAATGCAAAAGATCTTATGTGTAGTTGATCTGTTACGTCGAATCCCACACTGATGACCCCCAATAATTTCATCTATGTATGGACTTAACCTTGAGAGAAGAATATTGGATAAAGTTTTGTATGGAGTTGATAGCAGTGATAATCCATAATAATTACTACAGTCAGTTTTATCACCCATCTTGTGAACTGGTACAATAATAGACTCCTTCCACTGATCAGGCAATTTTTCCTTATGCCAAATAGAAGTAATTAGCTTATGGATCTTAGATCATAATATTTAGCCTCATGCTTGTATAAGATCTACCGGAATTGATGGCTACCTTTTCAATTTTGCAATAGCACTTTCAACCCCAGAAGGGCTAGGATCAGGTACTAACATCTCAGCTGTATGTATTTCTATCTGCCTAGCATCACTGACCCTATGTGCATTCAATAACTGAGAGTAGTTCTTCCATCTTTTCAAAATATTGTGGGAATCTGCAAGCAGATCATCATTCTCTTCCTTCATTAAGTTACTTCTAGGTTGGTAACCTCTCTTAAAGTCATTTATTCCTCTATTCAGGTCTCTAATGTTTTTGTTCTTACTGTTTGTTGCTAGCTTATCAATTTTGTCTTTCAAATATTCTCTTTTCTATTCCTGAAATGCCTGCTGGTTTCACATCTTATATTGTTCAGATTATCGTCATTTATTTTGTTCTGACATGAGAGATTTTAAATGTGTTGGTTATTTTCCGCTCCAGATAATTTCTTGCCTTCATAAGTGAGCCATTACACATGATGAAATTTGACTCTAAAATAAAGGATTAAAATATAATTTGCACTACAAAAATAAAAAATAGATTGAAACACTAGCCCTTGAAGCTGAAACAGTAATAACTAACCTCGATATAGCAGAACAAAACTATTATAGGCATGTGGTTGCAATAAAGATTAAAGATATTAAGGAGAATAATAATATAATTAATAAAGAAGAATGGAAACTAATATTGAACATAAAAAAAAAACAAAATTTGTAAAAGAAAACTGATAGTAATGAAAGCAGATAAAAGGAAAACACTAGTAATATTAACACAAGAAGAATATAAGCATAAAATAAAGGACCTGAAGGAAGCAATAACATCATACAAAGAGACCATGGAGGTACACGAATATGAACCCCATAACTATTAACCTCCATGTCACAATAAAACTACATAAACAAAGTACACCCATTAGATCAATAATCAATTGGAAAAATGCCCCTGCCTATCAGCAAAACAACTAACAAAGACACTACACAATTGCTTACAGTTACCATACACATACAATATCCAAAACTCTGTCAACCTACTGACAGACCTACAAGCCATTAAGCTTAATAAGAATATGAGACTTTGCTCCTTTGATATAGAAAATATGTATACAAATATACCAAAATTGGTAATATAAACGTAGTAAATACAATACTACAAAGAGACAAATACACGAAGAGAAATTATACACATATTAAAAATAGTAACAGAACAAAATTACTTCCAATTCAACCACGAATATTATAAATGAACCAAGGGATTAGATATTTGAGCCCCAACATCATCAGTACTAGGGGAAACATATACAACATATGGAACCTACACAAATATATCCCATCCTAATAAAACAATAGATAATTGCATATTTCGGATATGTCGATGACATACTGATAATATTCAATCAAAACAAAACAAACATTTGCCACACACTTATTGAATTTAATGAACTACAACCAACCATAAACATCACAATAGAAAAAGAAGAGCACAAATCCATTAACTTCCTGGATCTCATGATATATCTGAATGACAGAAATTTTGCAGTTTTTGATATATCAGAAACCTACAGAAACTGACATAATATCAAATAGCTTTAAGCCAAAATCGCTTATGAAAAGGAATGAATCAAAGACACCAGCCACTATTTGTGGACCTTTAGGTATAATATATCACACAAATGAGAAAGCCAATGTGATTGTGGATTATTTTAGAAAGCCACTTCACATCTCATGACCTCTGTGACATAAATCATGAGCAACAGGTGGTGACTAGTCCATGCTCTGCTCACACCTATAGACAACACCCTGTTGGGAAAAGTAAGACCTTGTGGCATGCATAAATTAGCAAAGTCATTTAAATTGAGAGGTGCTTGTGGACTTGATGGTATTCCAAATGAATGCCTTAGCCATCTTGCAGGAAAACCACCGATACATCTGACACATTTATTTAATCACTACCTTTGGCTGTCCCATTTTCCAAAGCCCTGGAATGAAGCAAAAGTTATTTTACTGAAACTGAATAAGGACCCCAAATTCCCTCAAAATTTATGTCCGATTAGCCTCTTGTCTACAAGAGGCAAGCTATTTGAGGTAGTTAATCTGAAAATAGTCCAAAGGCACCTTTAAGAAGGGGGTCTGCTCAGTGAAAACCAGTTTGGTTTCTGTCCCTGTTACAGAATGATACTTCAATGTCTGAGGCTTATGGACGCCACCTTAAATTTCAACAATAACGTGTGTACAGCTGCTGTATTTTTGGATATTCAAAAAGCCTTTGATGCAACATGGCGCCTTGTAAATTATTTGAATTACAATTTTCGACCAGTCTAATCAAGCTTATTAGCTCTTTTCTTTCTCAGAGAAAATTCAGAGTTTTGGTCAAAGGTGAAAAATCTATGCCAAGGAACATACAATTACATGCAGGGGTATCACAAGGTTCCATCCTATTCTCCACATTGTACAATATATATGTATGTATATAAATGATATGCCCAAACACCTGGTGTTTGTCTCAGTCTCTTTACTGATGTCACCTGTATACAGACAGACCACAAAGAGGGTTATGTTCTCAGAAAGCTGCAGTGAGGTCTCACTGCTATTGAGACATGGTGTGAATGCTGGAACATAAAAGTCAAAGGAGAGAAGACTCGGGCAGTCTACTTTTCTTATAGACTTAGGCCCCTTGAGGCTTATCTTACCATAAATGGACAGACTATCCCCTTTATCAATCACGTAAAATATCAGGGTGTAAATTTCAATCGGAGGATTACATGGAGACTGCACAGAGAAACAATTAAAGTCAAGTCCTTCAGAACATTCATTAGAATCTGCTCCCTATTCAAAAGTGAGCTTTTAAGTGCCTATATTAAACTAAACCACCATAAGGCACTGATCAGATTGGCAATGACTTACGCTTGCCCTGCCTGGGAATTAATGGGAGACACCCACCTCTTAAAATTGCAGCACCAATGGAAAGTTTCCAAGGTGCACACCAGTCTGTGATTTGCACACAGCTTTCAACCTTCCATATGTATATGTTTATGTAACAAAATTGTGCAGGCAACAAGCAGAAGTCATACAGAATAATGAGAATGAATATGTTCATTATATAGGACAAAGTGAAGCCAGACATAGAAAATATAAGAGGCTTAAACTTGGCAGTGGTCAAGCTTACGGCTGTTCAAGTGACTAAGCTGCTGTTGTAGCATAATATACGTAAGACAGGCACGATCTGCTTTGCAAAGCACATATTGATGGAGGACTTGTGTATACTGCAAAAGGAAGAATATTCAATAACGTGCTATATGTGTGATGTGCACACTTTATGAAAGGCAAAGTGTATTCATAAGAGATAAACCCATCTTCTCGTCAGAGAGGATGTTACATAAGGGCTATAAACACAGAGGTTCAGTAAAAAAATCTCTGTTCATGAGTCTCAAGGAGCTTTATGCCAAGACTGATGGGTAATAAACCGCCAGTTGTAAAGTAATATTGACTTGTGACTCTGGTTGGTTGTGGGCCTGTGCAGCTCAAGTGCTTTGTGTGGTTCCTGCATATGATTGTTATAGTAATAGTACTGGTAACTCGTATCATGGCTAATGTACCAACCCCAGAATTTCAGAAGCTCTGGTCAAACCTGATTTTGGATCTCATTTATGCTGTAGTGGTTTGTTAAGCGTGTTGAATACCATTCAGTACTGAGAGTGATAGTGTTATAACAATTTATGTTTATGAATTACAAGAGTCCATTAAATCCAAACCCCGTGTTTAGTCACAAACACGTGACAATACGGTTTCTCCTTTCACAACATTCCCAGCTGTTTTACATACATACATAATTTCACAGATCCATTGTCCGGAAACCGGACCGGATATTGAATTCGTCAGCAAAATGCAATCTAGTCTCAACAATTAAAATATTCAAGAATTATAAAATGAAAAATACAATAATAAAATAAAAAGCAGTCATATAACAAATCTAGATAATACATAATCTTGGAAAGACAACAATAATGTATTATGCTTGTGTGTATGCAATGTATTGATCTGCCAAATAAAATGCATTTAAAATAAGATAATCTTTTAGCCTTTGTTTAAAAGTATTAATATTGCCTTTCAAAGAATATATAATGTATGGCAAGTTATTAAATATTCTAATGGATGAAAAATGCACACTCACATCGTTATTTGACTGCATAACCTTATGTGAAATTTAAACACTGGGTCTGGAATGGGATTATTTTCTTTTTTACTTCCCGCGCTGCCGACTGCTACCGACGATATGAAAATAATTTTCCTACAATATCATAGATGTCAGTGATGTTTCATGCTTGCAGCGTTATGCAGTAGAGATGTGTAGTCGGTGATTCATGGTCAGAGAAATCTTTTTTTTTCCTCTTTCGTGTGGAATTTAGACGCCATCATTTGTTGAGAGGCTTGTATAATATTGGTATTTAGTGCATAATATTCATCAGGTTTTGATCTTGTTTTAATTTTTGCCTTACTATAACATGGGTAGAAAGAAGAAGAAGCAGTCGAAACCTTGGTGTTGGTATCCTTTAATAAGTAAAAACAACGTGAATTCACAAACTGTCAACATCCACTCGAAGGCGGAATTGTTTACTTCTACTGTAATAAATATGTATATACCAGTTAATATTACTTTCTCCTTAATCCCATGTGGGAAATTGATGTGGTTGTTTTGATAGTGGACATTCTGACAGTACAAAATAATATCGTTTAAAGCAGATTTACAAGTTGCTTTTCTTTGAAGACAGTTGCGGAAATTCAGGTCAGCTTCAAGTACTTCAAATACATTTTCCAGTAAAGTATCAAAAGAAGGGGTAAAATTAGAACTGAATGGTCAGTTACTTAAATTATAATGTTGTATAAACTTTATAGTGAACCACATATGGTCAGCAGTAGGCAGTTGCGGAGCAGAAATACGGGATAATGTTAGTGACTGAATGTATAGTATGGCATCAGTGGATATGTTAATAATAATAATAATAGTGATATTTAAAGACAATTTTAAAAATTGAAATTTCTTTAAACTAATCGGTCGTGATATCCATAGCAATACTATTAATACTGTTAAGCCACATGCTTTAAGATAATTTGTGAAAGTTATGTGGAATTATAGATTTGCTTAAAATTACGTTATTTATTATATTGCCCTCTTATATTTCTCTGTAATGCAAGCAACTTAATTACTTTTTGGTTGAATCTTGGAGCATCTATAATTAATCTTTATGGGTACTTGGAACAGCTGAAGTTTTAAGGCATTCTTGTCCAGTGGGTGTCCATAGGTAGGATTTTAATCTTTCATAGTGTTAAAACAACGTTCTGAGTTCGCAGTTGATACTACTTTATACACTTCTGAGAGTTACTTCATGCATTTCACAGAACTTAATACAATTAAATATCCTATCCAAAATATGTTAATTTTTGGCAGGAGGCTCATTGTGATCCTGGGCGGATATACAGTAGCACTCATTTGCCTAGGACACAGTGTCTATAGAACTGAAAATATTAAATTTTACATTTTCAGTATGCTGGAAATTTGTTGGGCAATTCAGTGCTTGAAGAAACATGAAGCAGTAAATTATAAGCATACACTATGCCCCAACAACAGCTAAGGAAATTGATAATGTGCCTAGTTTCTTAAAAGTAAAAGCTCATCAAGATCTAATGAAATAATAATAAAGACAATGAAAACCTCTGTGTCCTGATTAGCGAACCTTTTAAGCCAGATGTAGGGCTAATCATTTGTTACTGGAATTTTCCTAATTTTTAATGGTCAGTAATGAAACCTGTCTACATGAGAGAGGACTCATGTATGGGTATAGGTCAGATTTCAGTTATTTCTGGAACTTAAACAGAAATTTATCCACTGTTTAAATTCCAGTAACTTTCTGGTTAAGGAATAGTTTGATTATAGGATCCACAAAGAAAGCTACATACAAACATGTACATAAAAGTAGTATATGTACTTAATATTGAATGCTATGTATCAGGAATTGTGTATGACCTTTTCAAGGCTGTGTTAAGGTATATTAGTAACTACAAAAGAAAGTTGCAGTAAGTGATTTACCAGAGTTCATGAAGTCTCTGTATGAGTCTTTTACCATTTTGTATATTAACAACCTGTGACCAAATATGCGAAGCCTCCACACCTGTTCTCTTTACTGATGATACTAATATAACAATTAGTGAACCAGATGAAAACTTACATATGGAACTTTCAAATTATACCCTTGTGGTCATTAGCAAATGGTTTCCAGCTTACTCAGAATTTTGACAAAATAAGCTTCATAAAGCTTCCAAGTATAATTAGAATGAGCAAGTCAAGGAGGATGAGGTGGGCAGGTCATGTAGCACGAATGGGGGAGATGAAGAATGCGTATAGGATATTGTTGGGAAAGCCAGAAGGAAAGAGACCACAAGGAAGACCAAGGCGTAAGGGGGTGGACAATATTAAAATGGATCTAAGAGAGATAGGATGGGATGGTATGGATTGGATAGATCTGGCTCAGGAGAGTGACCAGTGGAGGGCTCTTGTGAACATGGTAATGAACCTTCCGGTTCCATAAAATGCTGGGAAATTCTTGAGTAGCTGCAGAATTGGCGGCTCCTCCAGAAGGGCTCAGCTCCAGGAGTAAGTAAGCAAGCAAGCTTCATAAAGTTTATAAGTAGTCACTAATGCCTGCCTGTCTGCATCTTTAACTGATCCATCAATCCATCTATCTACTACTGTTCAAAAGTATACAGATGTTTAACAAAAGCTGGTCCATGTTCTTCAACTGTGTTTAAAGAGTGATGATTTTGGCTAAGTATTTTTATATTCAAATCTGCAAAATTGAGGGCATGTTGATTTGATCGCAGTTGAAATTGGAGCTACTTAATTAGCAGTTTCTCTTAGGTAGTTCTAGGGTTGTGTTGGAATATGTGGCTGGAAACTGAGATGATGAAGATGATGATGATTATGATTATGAAGGTTGATTAGAAAATTGCCTGTAGATTGTCATGAGTGTTCATTATTTTCCTTAATGTATGGAAGGTACTGTAATCGTGAATTTGATGATGAAAAGATCCTGATTCAGCATCAGAAAGCTAAGCACTTTAAATGTCATATATGTCATAAGAAGTTATATACAGGTCCTGGCTTATCAATACATTGTATGCAAGTAAGTATTTTGAAATTACTTGGTTGAATTAAGGTACTGACTTGAAGTATGGGATGATTTATGATTAATTAAGACATAAAATTGTGCTTTAAAATACTGAAACAGTGAAAGCTGTAAGTTCTGACTAAATTAATGGATCTGAAAGCAGGTCTACATGAGTCTTGTCCAAAGGTAGTTGGTTCTGAATTGTTCACTGACTTGTGTAGGTGGGTCTCATATTTGGAAACTCAAATGTATAGCTGATTTACTTCCAAAGACAAAAGTAACACCATCCAGTGTGACTATTGAAGTTTTATCACTTGAAAACTCATTGCCCTTACATGTTTTGATCCCTACGGATCTTCCTCAGAGGGCATCAATACTTTTTTCGGAAACTACTATTACAGTAGGTCTTAAATTATGTACATACACATATAATATCTGACATACACAATGTCCACAGTGTTCAAACTTTCACAGTCACAGCAGCCTTCCTGGTGTTAAAATTTTTAAAGTTTCTTAAAAACTTTGTTGTTTAAGATTAAAATTATTATAAACCATGGAGGTTTGTGTCAATTCTCCTATTGTCTTTCTTGGAGGTATCTGATCTTGTGCCGCCTGTCTATCCTGAGAAAGGAGATTCTTAGTATTGTCCGTGTTTATTCGTGGCTTGCTGTGTTGTTTACACTCTGTTGTTTGCCCTCTGAGGATGATCCGTTGGCATCGAAACATGTAAGGGTGATGAGTCACACTGGACGGTGTTATTTTTGTCTTTGTAATTGTTAGTGTGATGGACCAGAATGAAACAAATCAAATTGATTTACTTCCATTTCACAGGTACACAAGGAAACAATTGACAAGGTTCCTAATTCACTACCAAATCGTTCCAACATTGAGATAGAGATATATGGAATGGAAGGAATCCCACCAGAAGATATCAAGGAACATGAGCGCCAGAAGCAAGGAAAGCAAATGCAAGGTGGTAAAAGAAAGAATTTAATCAGTTCAGAGGCTTTGAATAAAGCAGTACTTTGTATACTTGGGTTTGGTGTTGGTTACTGATTCACACTGCTACAGCTTTCCTGTATTCACACCATTTTTCATAGTTGTTTTTAAGATCTGAATAAAGCAGGATATGGCAGAGCAGATGAATAGCTTTAATTTTAAATTAATGTTTTATTCATAATATAGTATAACACTTGGAAATCAAGTGTTTTATATATACAGTAAAACTTGGTTGTAGCAACATCGGTTTCTGCGACAGCTTGTCTATTGCGTCAAATATTCAATGGTACGAACTAATTCCTCATAAAGCAACTGTTTTTATACCTTGCTTAGTACGACATGCACAAATGCATCAACCTCGTATGTAACGTCATTTTCATTCCTGAATTTCTCTGATATCGTGGGAAAGTTCGATGTGTCTGCCCACCCTCACTTTCTCTACTTGCTGACGTGACTGTCCTGGAAGAATATGACCGCAGGCTGCAAGAGGAGCGTGGGTTTTATGCGAAAACAAGGGTGTGGGGTGGGACTGCGTGAATAGTGCAAGAGGACGCGGCATGTTGTTAATTGCATTCCTTTCCTAGAATCTCTTCTAACAGGACCTCACATTGTCTACTTACCCTATAGTGTTCCTGCCTAAACCCAGAGAAGTGCAGTAGCGAAAACATGGCAATGAAA